TTTCCATTGGAGTAAGGGCAATGTCGAGGGACTTTAGGTCTGTAACAATCTTCAACTGGTTGTCGTGATCTGTGCACATGTTCTCCCACATTTTTGCCATCCTGAGTTGCAGATGTGATTAATATATTTCCAGTGGAAACCTTTTCTCAGTAATACAAGCATATGGCCACATCAATTAAGGTGGAAGCAAATAACTTAGCTGAAAAATCACGTACAATAATTGTGTGCGAGCACATAACCTTACAAAAGAGGATGGAAAAACTCAACACATAACATTACAGAAACAGAAATCATCCATCAGTTCAATTTTCCGCAATAGAGATGGTACTTTTGTGGACCATTAAATGTTGCTAGTCTTTTTATGATGAAACGCTCTTGATGCATAATCAAAATGATTTTAAGACAGAAACGATAATCTGATCAATCAAGAAGACACAAAGGGGAACAAGAACGAAGTAAATAAGCAACGAGATATCTCAATGCACAAGCTTACCCATCAGCTAGAGAAACAAGCTTAGGGTACAGCTGCTCATCCCGTAATTGATTTACTTCCGAAACTGTAGAATCCATGGACTGCATGTCAACAATGTATCTTGTATGCAAATGACTTACAGCTGCTTTTGTTTTTTCCAAGGTTTCAGCACTAGCGCTGCGTTTCTTCTGCTTGTTCAGCAGAGCAACCTTTCTCTGATACTCAACCTTCATAAGCTCCCCTTGCTATCAACATAAAGTAAGATAAAAAAACATTTCAGTGTAAGAGAATAAACATATAGGAAGCCGTACATTTTTCTGTTGTCAACTGTCCAATTAGAAAGAGGACCGCCACAACTAACAGTGTTCATGATGCGGGATGGCACTAGTGAATCAAGATGAAAAGCAGCAAAAAATTAAAATGAAACAAACTAATCCAATATACCTTCACTTCATCATAAAGTTTCTTTTCCCAGGCCAACATCTTATCCAAAACAGTGGCATGAGTTTCATAATCTTCTGAGTTTTCATCCTTCCCGTCACCATTTGGTATGCCTCTGAACGACCTATTCCATGTAATAACACGCATAACCCTTGCAGAGTGATCAATGTGTCCTGCGTAACATTACGAGAATCAGTACCACATCCAACAAATGATTCAGCAGATCTCTCTCACAAATAGAATTTTAAGAAAAACCAAAAGATGTTCTCGGCACAACAGCCAGTCAAATTCCGGCCTCATAAGCTAGTTCAACACTTTTCAAGTACTGGAACAGGATGATTCAAAGCATCAAACTTTAAACAAAAAAGGGCAAATGCCGACAACTAAAGAGGAATTAGTTTCAGATGTCACTAGAGGCAACATGTTGGCAAAGTTCTCATACAAAGTGCTTTTTCTCAATTTTCAGAAAGTGTAAACATCTTTGGTTGATATCAGATTACCAAAAGGTAGTTTGAATACCAAAGATTTATTATTTTGATAGTTAAAGGCTAAAGCCCAAGCTTTTGAGCCAAAAAAAAAAGGTCTCTTTCAAACTTTTAAGAAGCAACATAATCATTGCATTACACCTAAGAAACAGAACAAAACAAGCACATCATATAAAATAACTTGATCTTAAAGCAAATACGAAGACTCGTCTACCTCGATTATCTGCGAAATTCGAGTGATAGTACAACCGAGTGGCCTCGAGCATCTTGGAAACCTCCTGAGCACTCTCGGAGGCCTTCAAGAAATGATCATCAATCTTATTCAATATGTCCATCAACGTCACACCAGGAATCACATTAGCTACTCTCCTACTGAACTCCGGTGGTGCAGTCTTCGAATGCTCAATTGCCACCTTCACCGGAGTCTCCTCCTCCGGCTTCTCCTCAATCTCCTCCACTTTTTCCGGAGTCTTAGGCTCAACCCCATCATCCACATCACCACCGCCGCCGCCACCAATCCCCATATTCTCATCTTCACCAAATTCCTCAGCTTCTTCATTCTCACTCAAAGAAGGTCCCGGCATGTTATCCACCATAAAGAAATAGTCCCAAGCCATGCCTTTCGACTCCGGCATTGGAGGCACCGCCTTCATCTCCGGCGTCCTCGGCGGCGACGACGTCTTCTCCGAAGCTCCATTTCTCGATCTCCTCTGAAATCCTTTATGGCTCTCATCCTCACCATGTTCATGGTCTCCTTCTTCTTCCTCATCCTCCTTGGCAATGGCCAGCCCAACTCTCCGCCCCCCCATTTTTCGAGCCTCAGCACTCATCGCCGGCATGCTGATGGCCCGCTTGATCGGACTCGGAGTAAAAGTGGGCAAAGGAGGCGGAGGCGGCGGAAGGTTCAAATTCTCCAAATGGGGTGGCGGCGGAGGCGGCGGCTCAGATGCAGGGTCCATCGGCCGGTGTTGGCTGTGAAGAATTTCCATCTCTTGGGTCACTTGGGTTTCTCCATGGCCATAATCACTCAACGCAGCGCCGGCGTTCTTCAAGGACACGGCGTAGCCGGAATGACCGGAAGCGAAGGCGTTCCGGGCCACCACCGCCTCTTTCATCAGGTTTCTCCGCTCCTTACATCGCGACACAGATTCCTCGTTGTCGATTCTCGATTGGGCGCACCCCATTCTTTTGTGGGTGTCTTCAGAAAAATACGACTAAAAAATCCTCAAAGTTTTGGACTTTTTGACATTTAAGAGCAAAAGGTTGGAAAAAACACGAGAAACAACATGTGGGCTTTGCGCTTTGGAGCTTCTGGGTGCGGCTAAGACGGCGCCACTTCCACCGCAGAGTGAAACTTGTTGGAGCTGGGTTTTGGGAGCTCTGGTAGGTCAGAGATATTTGAGGCGAAGACGGGCTTTTTCGGGTTTTCACTTTTGAGAGAGGAAAGAGTGTTTCAATGGAGGAGGAGGGCAACGAAGTGAAATGAAAAGAGTGTGAGTGCTGCCAAAACTGGTACAGACTACAGAGTGAGCAGAGAGAGAGAGAGAGAGAGAGAGGGAGGGAGGAGGGAGAGAGAGAGAGGGAGAGAATTTTTGTGTGCTCGCACGGAACGGAGGAATTAACGTCTACTCGAGGTGTCCCTAGTTATGATTTTAAAAATTAACGGTCACATATTTTGAGGCAGTTGATACGACGTCGCACTTGTTGATCAGTCCGTTAAGTGGTAAACGGATGATTACCTACCTAATTGCTTACTTCATGCAAAAAAAATAAAGTAAAAATTACTTGGTGTGAATGGAATAAACGTTGACCGTCGAGGTAAAAGGTGATATTACTGTGGCCTCCTCCAACAAAACTTATTGATTTTGTACTCATGTCATGTGCCGAATAAGTTACTTAAAATAGAATGTCAATATTGTTCTTGAAGAAATTTGCATACTTTGTGTTCAAATGTTTTCAGTTTTTCACAGTTTTGCAATTCGGCACCTCCTATCCACTTAATGCACAAGTCCCCTTTAAAGGGAATCCTCGTTATTTCTTTAACGAAGATGGTACACACTCGTACGAGTTTGAAAGCAAACGGAAAAAATGACTAAGCTTTTTAAGAGAAAAGAGCCTCATGAACACGTGTGTGCTACAAGTAGTGGCGAAACCAGGAATTGTCAAAGGGAGGGGCAAAACTTAAAAGGCTAAATGTAAAATTTCATCCCTAGATTTCACTATTAAAATTTGTATTTTCAAGAAATTACTATTATTAACGTTAATTTTAGAATTTTAGTTGGCAAGTTACAAAGTTCATTTCTTTTGTAATTAATCATTAAAAATTTGTAGACCTTTCTAGGTTACTCTTAGTATTTTCGAATAGAGCTCTACTCCACACGTGTAGGTGAAAACCGTTCGCGAAATAGAGTTGAAACAAATGTGAAATAAGTGAGCAAAGACAGGGACAAATTGGACGTTCAGTATATAGGAGCTCCAATAAACCTGGAGCAGACTTACCATTTTTGGAAAGACCAACCCGACGACCTGGTTACCTGAGCACCGACCTAGTTTTCTGCAAATTTTTTAGGTGAATTTTCCGGCAAATACTATCTCAGCCACCACCCCCATTCAACTCATCTTAGTCTCCTGAACAAGAACCACCCAATCCTTGCCCCGTTTGACCACCGATCAAGGCCGGGAGAAGCTCGACTTTCCCAAGCTCCCTGCTGTCAAATTTGCCGTCTTCGTTCATTTAAGCATTTCACCGAACGTGCAAGTCCAAAGGAGCGGAGTCCTCGCTCTTCATAGGGTTTCCAACAACGACAGCAACCACACCTCCTTGTCCTAATATGACTTCGCCACTGGTTGCAAGTCTTTTGCAACACAATGGCGAAAAACATATCATCTTGCCTACTCCCTTCCACTATTGCTTGTATAAAGAATATACGATTATCGGACGAGCCCTAACGAGAGTGCTAAATTGTAAAACCGTAAATTTTGATTTGCACAAAAGTAGAAAAAATTCAGGTGTTATTAATCTAAAATTTTAAATATATTTTCGCTATGGAACAGCGAAAGTAGACCAACTTTTTTCGTGCTTCAACTGTTCAACGCTTTGTTGCTTGGCTGGGAGGAATGTCAAATCCAATAGAAAAGTATCATAAATTAAATCAAAGGGCAAGGCTTGATTTATTCCCTTTAATTTTTAAGAAAACTAATAAAAATTATTTGAAAACTTTGAGTTTTAATGACAAGAACAAAATAAATAAGATCAGAATTGACTTTTTAATGTAAAAATATGATTTTTCGTTAAAAAGAACAGTACCGTAGACTTTTCGTTAAAACTCCCTTAATTTTTATTCCTTCATTCTAATCCCCTATTTACTTTAATTTTTATAAATACCAAAATCAAGAACAAAACCCCATGGCAAAATGGCAATGCATAAACCTATCTCGTGACCATGTCTTTTAACTTTCTCACATAATGCAACGTGATTAATTTAGAACAGATAATTGCCATCCCCTTAAATGCAAGTTCCTTCTCCCATAAAAAGAGTGAATTTGACCAGTCACCCCACCAAGAAAAACTTTTCAATGGTAAACAGTGACTAGAAAAAGCCTACAAGAATTTTGGCCTGTTAATTTCAACTGAGACGAAAAAATCTTGTTTAACCTAAATCATAACTGTACAAACAACGACCACGGTCTGTTAGTTTCAACTGAGATGAAAAAACACTTGTTTAACCTAAATCATAACTGTACAAACGGCCATTCACCTATCTGAAAATGATACCAAGGAATTTACATTTTTATTCGGTGATGGAGCTCATATGTAAGCATACCGTCCAGTTATTTCCTACGGGCAAAGACTACGGGTGAGATTCACAACACCTGGAAACCAGTCCTAAACAAAATATTTGTACCTGTGCAACCATGAAATTGCCTGATCCCTGAATTACGGCCCAGCCATATAAGTTCTTCCATGATAAAACTAGGGGAAGAAAAAAGGATTGTGTCAATAGACTAAACTCAGATAGAGAGAGAAGAGAGAGTATAGACTAAATAGAATATGCAAATATATGATTTGAGTTTCTCCTACTCAAGGAAAGGACTACGAACGATGCAAGTATTTAACTGAAACTTAAATGTGTTCGATCACACACATTTTACAATACACTGTACAGGGGAACAGATACACATCATTTGCTGGCCCAGAGCCTTTAAAACCTTTGCATTGAACTTTCATGAATCACTTCCACGCAAGTATAAAAAAATATGAAATTAGATCATTCTTGACAATTTCACAAATCCCCAAAAGAGGAGAAAATATTCATTTGAATCAGTGCATAGAGCTGACGTAAAGATAATTGATGGGTGAAAAAATTCAAGGAGCAACGGAATTAAGTAACTCAATGTTGGAAGTAGAGATCTTTCTTTGTTGCAAAACTTACCAATGGGAGCAAGTTTACCCAGCCACACTGCTTACTTCGCCTTAAGTGCATCTTTGAGTTTAAGTTTAGCTTTGAGTTGTCTCAACTCCTTTCCTTGTTGCTAAAAACAAATTTGGGAAGCAAAAACAATATCATTTAAGATAGCTTGGCAAAGGAAATAACATGAAGAAACAGTAATAGCATTATTCCATCACAATACAATAAATTGAAGATGAGGTGGAATATTTCAAAGACCTTATACAAGTTCTTCCAAAAAAGATCTGATCTTTCTTGTTGTAAACACCACTCCATGGCCATATTGTATTCAATAGTGTTGGGCTGGGAACAATGTGAAGTTGATATGGCTTCTTTCTGGATGTGAAATTAAAATATAAATATGTAGATGAGAAGAAAATTTGAACAGAAACAAATAATAACAACTTTATGTGCCTGTATATCTCTTATATGTGACAATGCTTGTAAGGAGCCTTGTTGGCGCCTGTGTGCGCTCACGTGCATGTAAGGGAGCGAGGGAGGGAGAGTGTGTGTGTGTGTGTGTGTGTGTGAGAGAGAGAGAGATAGAGATGCAACTGTACCACTTCCCGTGCATTTTGGTGCCAAAGTTTCTCGATAGTTAAATGACCAAAAAAAGGTGGCTTCCTTTCTGAGGAACAAGGAGTTCCAATGCTGCCAACCAGAGGCCTACAAATCACATAAAACTATGTATAATCATGCGAGACACCCAATTTGCAAAAATTAGCATTAGATAAAGTAAAAGCTGATAATCACACTGAGATTGACAGATGCCTGTCTCCTTCATCAATTGAAAGCAGTTAGAATAACAGAAACTATAAACAAATACACTGCCTTGTGAAAAAATCTTAGATGCTAACTGCTTTGATTTGATAAAACAGAAAAAATGGACACAACAGAAAAGGTCACCAGTAAGTCATAAGAAAGAACTTGAAAAGAAATCTTGGTATGCAGAGGATTCTAAGTTATTTAATGGGGAGTGGAACACATAAGGAGAAATATAACAAGATAATGAGAATAAATAGCAAAATGATGTACGCTGCAGAGCCTGTGCTAGAATATCATCCAACTACAAACCTTCCATTTGACAATAATAGGCAGCCCTCATCCAATTCTCTAACAACCTTTTGTGCTGCTTCCCTAGTTTTGAGAATCACAAGAGCTTGTCCTACAATATGAACAAACGAAAAAAATTACAATTAGACTATATGCGTAATTTCATCCATGTTGTGTTTACAAATACATGTTATCATCTGAAAGCAAGATTGAGTCAAATTTTCCAAGAAAATAGATAAGAGAATAAAATAAGTCATTCAAATACATATCTGTACCATAGTGAGGACTAGAATTTGCAGTCCGCTGAATCATCTTAGCCGTGCAGCTTTCCTTAATACCATGCCATACTATGTCCTGAAATGAAATGCATAAGATCAAATTAGATGTTGCTGTAACGTAGAGAACCCAACATATAAATGGCAGCCTGGAGTTGACAATGATGAAAAATTGGACAAGTACAAACACAATAGTACACTACATTAGTACATTTAGTTCAAAATCTGTACTCCAAGTAACAGCAGCATATGCATCTAAACCTCCAATGCGATTATTACCTCCACTTGCGCTGAAGTGTATGCTGGATCCAAATTTTGGAGCAGAACAAGAGTGCCTTGCTCATGTGCATTCTGAATTCTATCTTCCCAAGGCTGACATTGATAAAAGACAATTTATCAGTCCAATTGTTGAGAATGAGTCCCACATTGATGGGAGGAGGGACCTTGCATGGGCTTATAAAAGATTGGGCTACTCCTCATATTGCCAATTGGTTTTATGGTGGAACCCCAACTTTCTTCATGGTATCAAAGCCACGATGGGACACATGTGCTCCACAACATCCTGTTGTGTTGTCCACGTGTTAGGCTCAAAAATTCGCCACACATGAGGGGGCGTCTTGAGAATGAGTCCCACGTTGATGGGAGGAGGGACCTTGCATGGGCTTATAAGAGATTGGGCTACTCCCCATATTGCCAATTGGTTTTATGGTGGAACCCTAACTTTCTTCACCAACATGGCCCTCACTACTGTCCACTTTAAAACATCCATTAAACGCCAATTTAGAAGAACTTTTCTTAGAACTTTTCTTTGAACTTTTTTGGTGAAAGTAATTACTAGTTGAGGTTCAAATTGACAACACCCCATTATGTTTCCTTGCCCCTCGACAAAAGAGTGGAAGACAATTTTGAGGCCTTACAGGTGCAAGGCACTAGAATCAAATTCAACAGTAAACAAAAATTTGAGATACACAAGCAAATTTAACAATTGAACCCAAGAATAGAAGTGAAAATGAACAACTCACAAATCCCTTGAACCATGTTCTTCTATCCTGCAAAAATGAAGATGAGAAACTGTAAGAACTAAATCCAAGGTTAACCTTTTTGGGATCTTTATGTTATCATTTTGGAAGAACTAGGCATTAATAACACAAAAGAACTAACAGTAAACCTGACTACCAAACCCCTCACCCAAAACACAATAAATGTTAGGTAAAACCAACTTCTATTGAGATGTAGTGTTATAATCTAAAACTGTTCATTTGAGGAAAAAGAGAATACAATGCCCTCTACAGTTGTATTGGGGATTGATTAATTAACTGATGGTGTGCTAATGCATATCTATTTGTGTGAGAATGGTGTGTAGAGTCTTGCAAACTTGAAACAAGCTGTTGTATCTGTTTGTATAAAACTCCAGTCATCATCCAGTTAAACTAGGTTGAGCACAACTTGGTTGTAATATAACAAAACAGATCCTCTCTCATGTTGTATGAGAAAAGTCAGCAATAAGCATTTACGGGAAATTAGAGTGCTAGAAAATCACTATCTAGACAAAGTCAGACATACCATAAATGCAACTACATATATTTCTCATGGTGGCAGTTGCATCAATGAATGATAATCTTAATTAACAGAACCAATTAGTAATTGAATACCAAATAAGAAGCAGACCTTCAGTGTTGAAGGCACTGCCTTTGCATTTTGGTATCACATCCCTATAAATATAATTACTTGGTTGTACTATACAGTACGAAAAGGAAATCATTGAGCACTATGAAGTAACTGAGGCTTCACTTGAACACTATCCTAGAAAGAAGGGGGAACTCTATTTGTGCAGCAGCGATGGATCCAGGATTCTAACATCGGGTGGTCCTAATCAAGGTTCTAAAACACACTAGGTGCTAGTTGAGCGGCGGGCTGAAGCCTAGTGCCTAGATGGCCAAACTAGGCGGATTTAAGTAACTTTATTATATATAATATAAATAAGTGCCTATTTACACTTTCAAAAAAAAAGAAACTACACTTGTATTGAGAATATCATAATTTTCGCTTTAGTATTCTAGTAAATTTGATAGTATGAGATGAAAGTTTAAGTGATTACAAGTCCGTAGTACTTTACGAAATATTTCAAAGGTTGTATGAATTTACATTGAATTTTAAAAGAAATAACAGTGCAAAACATGTATAAGGTATTAACAAAAATCCTAGATGGCATAATCTGATTGTACAACAATTAAAAAAAAAAAAGAAAAAGAAAAAAGGGGAGTTGGTCATGTGGAAATGGAGAGAGAGTCAATTTCTCTTTCTTCATTGGAACCAAGGCCCAAGAACAGCAAAGAGCTCTGTGTTCTTCTTCATCTGAAATTAGACCTCTCTTCTTTGTTCAAAGCTTCTATTACACAGCAGCAACATAGCAATGGTGGTCTTCTCTCCTCCACCACTTGCCCAAATCATTGGGTGATACTCGGAGGTCCTTACAGGAGCTTCTACAGACTTCAGAGGGTCGCGGGACCACCTGGGTCCATGAATGGATCCGCCTCTGGCGATGCACAAGGTGAAAACTTGATGGTAGATGGAGGACAAGGAATGAGGAGATCAAGAGGTGAATGTATAAAATCAAATCTCAAGAAATAAAGGATAACGAATAATTTGAATGAGTACACTAAATTAGAGCCCACTTGAAATGCTTTAAAAGAAACACTCATAAGCACTTTAGGGATGGTCATTGGTACTCCTAAAGCTAGGACCACTAAACCAATGTTGGTGTACGTATTGCAACTTGGCATGCACCAAAACTCAGACATGCAAGCCCAATGGTTTAAGTTGAGCCCACAAGAAACTTATGACATCCCTTGAGAAGGCTTTTTGTTAGAATCACAACAAATACTCTATAAAAGCCAAGTGCTTTATGGAAAAACACTTTGAAGTTCTTCCAACCAAGTACTTCAGAGACACTAATGTGTTGTTATAACAAAGAAACACTTAATTAGGACTCATTCAACGTGCTAAAAGCCTCATCAAGTAGTAAAGTGACTTTTGACAACCAAAAGCACTTATGATTATGTTTAACAAAAAACACTTATTATCTAAACAACATATTACCAAAACCCTCTTTATCAACCAAAAGAAGGTAACGAGACAAGTTGATCTTATATCACAAAAATAAAATCATGGGCAGTAATGTAATTTGCACACAAACCAAATTTTGCTTTTTTTTTATTTCAAACCTCACCCACATGTAATCATAGCATCTCTAATTAAAAAAAACATAAAATAAAAAAAGGGAATTGTTATTAGCACTCCAAAATTCTCATTCTACACTCCTAACTTTCTATATTTGGAAAGAAAAATACAATTGTGAGGAGTGTAGAATGAGATTTTTGAAGTGCTAATAATACTTCCCTAAAAAACTAGTCACATTCTCTCTCACTTTTCTCTCCAACTTCTCTCTTTTCCTTATATTTTTTTTGCTTCTTGAAATTTTTATATTTACACACAATGTGGGCTTCATGTAGTATGTCATATGAGAACTTTATGGAAAAGCACTCATCAAGCACTTCTTCAAAAAGCACATCCAACTGTTTTTATTAGAAGCACTTGAGTTTTAATAAAAACTTCAACGGGTTTTCAAAAATCACTTGTACCAAAAGCGCTTATAAGCGTAAGCGCTTTCTAAACAAGTAGTTCCAAGCGAGCTTTAAAAGCACTTGCGGATAACCAAAAAACTTCTTCAACGATTGACATGAAAACGTAAAAATGCTTGTGGCTTATAAAAGCACTTGTGAGCTTAGTGATGAGGGTGGGCGTAGGGCGATGAGCACAAGTAGGCTAGGTCCATAGTCTGAAACCCTTTAATGTAACAAGAAATTAATGAGTATAAAAGGACTTGTGAGTAAACGTGCTTCCTAAAAAGAAAGAGCCCTTGGTTATCTAATAACGCTTTTATCCATTCCAAAAGAAGTGCCAAATTAGCCCTTAGTGTTCTAATTGAAAGAACCAAGATGAAGAAAGAAACAAGTAAAAACTATTTTCAACCCAGTAAGGATTACACCACGAGGACACTAATCAAACTTAGCAAGGATTACAAGAAGGGAGTTACCTCAACTAAAAATAAGATTGTAGAACATTGTTTCCATTACTATGACCATTGGCGAAATCATTCATGACCTGAACTCGCATGAAAACTTTGTGAATGGTTCAACTTTATATATTTGAACACGACAAGTTAGAAATTTAAGCATAATTCCACATGGAAATAACACAAAAAATCAACACGAATGAATGGTTTAGTGAAGAACCATTGTTAAGTCATGAAAGGTAAAAAGGGTCTTAGTACTTCATATATAAGACTCTTATACCAAAATGGTTGTGTCTCAAAGCACGATTTTCTCATACATTGTTACACTATACAATGGCGTAATCATTGACTAAGGCGAAGATGACCACGACCATAAAAGAAGCATTAAAAATTGAAGTTTGGTTGATGATTTGAATATTTCCTAGAAACGTTGGTAGTTCGTGATAGCCTTGGCATTATTCATTTAGAAAAGTAACTAATGCAGGCAAGGCATGAAGCACTCTTGTGTAGCATACATGGCACGTGATGTCAACTCGACCACAAAGTACTAATGAGAGTCAACTCGCCATGTGTACAATGAATGAGTACCAACTCTTTTGAGTAGACCTCAATTGTTATCGAATGCTACAATTGAGTGCCAATTTGTGCCTTAACTACAAAAACAAAAAAAAGCCCTAACCCCAACATCGTGCCTCTCCATAATTAGAGCATCTCCAAGGGTGTGCCATTGGTTAAACATATCTTGTTCTTTTTTTCGGTAACAGGTTAAACATAACTATCAACAAAATATAACTACCAACCTTCTCTAAACTATTTAACGTTCCAAAATCAACGCTAAAAGTAGTTCCAATTATGTCAAACCTAGGGCTTCGCCAAACTTTCACATTGGGGAAACCCTCACTCATGAGAGAGAGAGAGAGAGAGAGAGTATATGGACACTCCACCATATAAAACAAAGTATGGAATTTGTAAGACCCAAAGAAAAAACATGCTAGAAATGACACCAACGTTCGACTTCATGTGGGGAATAACAACAAATCACGCTCTCAATAAGGTGATCATTGGACTAGAATGAAATGAGGAAAGAGAGGCATTACTTACACCATTGGGATGTCGAGTAACTTCCACTACAAGGCCATCAACTTTATCAGCCATACTTTGATTCTGTGTAAGAGGAACTTTAGGCAACTTGCCATCAGAAAGCGCCATGGCCTTCTCATTGAGATTTATCTTCTTGCAAGACTCTTCGTCTGTTCCACGACAATCATGTTTGACTTTACGTTGAGATGCTTTAGGCAAGTTGCCATCGTTGCCATTGGAAATGGTTGTTGCCTTTTCATCAGGCTTCATCTTTTTGAGAGGGGAATTGTTTGTTCCAAGAGAATCCTTTGAACGCTTAAGTTTGGATATATCATCAAGAGCAGACATAGTCGGTGATAAAACCTTTGTAGCATTCACACACTTTGGGTCACTACTTTTGCTTTTGTCATTGGGCACTTCAATTGAAGTGTCAAGCTTCGGCTTTTTTGATTGTCCATGGTCCACTTCATTAGAAACCTTTGGGGATAAAACCTTTGTATCACTCCTATGCTTCAAGTCACTACTTTTGTTTTTATCGTTGCCCACTTCAATTGAAGCGTCATTCTTCACCTTTGGGTCACAAACACTAGGTAAATTTTTTCTTTCTTTCCACCTCCACATGTATTCGCTCTCTAATTTTTCCCGTATCAAGCTTCGCCTTCTTGGTTGGCCTATTATCCAAATCAATGTTATCCTTAGTGAACTTCACTTTTTCTTCCTCTTCAACTTGTCGTGCATGAACTTTACCATGCTTAACCTCACCTTCATCACTTTTAACTTCAAACCTCAACAAGGCCATGGGATTTGACACATGTTCCAGTTTTTCATTCATTTTATCCGTGTCACTTGAATTTAAACCTACACCAGAAGCAGGCTTTTCTACAAGTGATGGTTTATGCTTAACCAAACCACCATTTTCTTGTGTTGAAGAATCAACACAATTTTCATTTGTCTCTAAAGTGATATTTTCTTTAAATGAGTTTTTCTTTGATAGAACCATTGTTTCATTACTTGCTATGACATTCCCACAAACTTCATTTTTTCCTAAATCAACTTTCAGAACGCCACCAGGCTTCTGAATTTCCTTTCTGTTAAACATGAATTTAACTGCAACAATTACATAAACAAAGATATAAGACTTGAAATGTGGAAACAAACATGTAACTATATGTCAAACTACAAGACTCCAAGTTGACAGATATACATACCATCAATCCCAGCAATTATTCCTTCCATCTTATCGGCAATTTTTTGCAGCCCAACATCAAAGGTTCGATGAAACACAAATTCAGCCATTTGAAGCTCTTCGTCTGATGGTTGAGGATTTTCCTTGTGCTTTGAAATGCAAAGAACATTGCATTTTCCAGCAATAGATTCCTGATTTGATTATACAATTCAGCAACTAGACCATTGATGTATAATAGTAGAATATGAAATAATTGTTGATTTATATCCTAACAACATAAACTTTATTATGGTATAAAAGCATGAGATCCATTGTTGAAGTCCCTGCATTTGACCATTCCAACAGAGCTTCAAAATCACAAATGATATCTTGTGATAAAGAGAGTCCCAAGATTGGTGGCAGTCTTAGAACATAACATAACCGTTGCTCCACAACTTGTTAAGATTATGCTACAATGTTATCATAGTATAAAGTATAAACTCAATTCCTACTTACCAATACATGCACATAATCTATTTTTCTAAGTTCTTAGTTTCATTAATTGCACAAATATTTACAGTTTGTTACCAACTGAAACAATTTCTCACTTGTCATACTACCATGTTTATTAGAGATATAACATCCTATGTTCTAAAAGACGCTAGGCGCTAGGTTTGACGACGAGCTAGGGCCTAGCGCCCAGACAGGCTAGGCATACACCTAAGTAGGTCTAAGCACACTTTTCTAGTTTTCAAACCTCTAGGAACCAATCGGGGCAGTGGCCAGCCCCCTAGCGCCTAGGTGGGCCTAGGAGGGGATTTTTAGAACAATGATAACATCTATCAAATACTACCAAAAGTTCAAAACCCAAGTTCACCTTAGCATGTATTTGTAATTGTGTGTGTGTGTGTGTGTGTGTGTGTGTGTGAGAGAGAGAGAGAGAGAGAGAACATGTAATCTGACACAATTTTAACTGCCATCGCAAGGGGAATGCATATCTTATGGTATTGCTGGAAATCAAAGTTGTAAGGATTGCCAATTAGAGTCTTTTAAGAAATATAAAAAATAACACACTAAGAAGCTTAACAATATTTTACGGTCCTACTGTACCAGAGACGTAGAATCTGTTGTAAATTATATTCAAACACTTTCAACCAATCTATAAAATACAAGTGCATGGTTTAGTCAACCCCTGGTGAAAAAAAAAAAAGTAAAAGTTTGCAGACAAACTTGGCAGCAGAACGAAGAAAAAGAAATAACAACATTGCAAAGATATACAGCACAGAAAGTTCCTGCATCATTATTAATCGAAAATCAGAAAGACTTTATTTTCATTTAACCTGGCGAACTATATACCATACCTTTACCTGATCAAGCAATAATTACATTTCTAACAATACAAGTAATAAACTAGTGAAAAGCATAAATCAAAATTTAATTACCAATGGATTAAGATTCGCAAGGCCTACACCTTCACCGGATGCCAAAAACAACTCATTCTCAAGTATCTCTTCACCTCCAAGAAAATTTGAAATCTCAGAAGGACGAAAAAACCATAAAACTTTAACTTTCTTTGCCTTCTCACCAGTTTCCCATATTTTTATTAGCTTTCCAATCTCAGGCTCAGGTTCATCTTTCTTGTAAAGATAAACACAATCATACAGGGTATACTCTTCACCATCAAAAGTGAAAGATTCATAAAACAGAACGTCCTTATTTTTCCCTCCCTTTCCTTTCTTCTTTCCCCATGTAAATTCAAGCTCTTCAGTCGGTGTATCTTCTTCCATATTCCCCCACCAGGCCTCTTCACAAGCAGACTCACAGTTAACCTGAAAAAGTAGGGAAAACCTATTATCAATATTTCAATAGACAATTTCCAGTCAATAATGTAAGAAAATAATGATTCTCGAGAACAACTTCCACCCAAGAAATCTTTTTTTCCCACTACGATTACCAATCCTGGTTTACGGTAAACCTAAAACACTACCTCAGTTCAAAGCAATAAAGAGGAATACTGCCAAAGTGAAACCGATTCGGGACAGTACGAGATTTTCTCTCCAGAAATTAAATAAAAGCATTAGCTTTCAATTGATACAAAAACAAACCCTAGAATCCCAGAGTCCTACTTTCCTGAAAAACTATTGATACAAAAACAAACCCTAGAATCCCAGAGTCCTACTTTCCTGAAAAACTAACTGCACTTTCTTATATCTATGATTTAAGCACTCAAAACTGTAAACTATGCCAATTACATCCCTGAAGACCTCTAAAACGAAAAAAAATTAGAAAAAAACCAATTGGATGAAGAAAAAAAAAAGAAAAAGAAAAAAAAAAAAAACAGAAACAACATAGATCAATCCTCATATGCATGAAATCCAAAAACTTTTAAACCGGTCCGGAAAACTGACAATTAAATCGAATAAATGAAAGCCATATACAATCACCAAACATAGAAACATTCGCGAGTGGAAAAATAACGAAATAACAAAAATTTAGAGCAAAATCGAACCTTACAGCGGCTCTCTACAGAGCCGAAGATAGTAACCGAGGCAATGCTGGTACCGCGGAACTGGAAGAGTGCGAAACCCTAAGTCGTTTCGCTTTGGTTGTAAATCTTGTTCCCGTTTGTGATGAAAAACCCCGAACGCGATGGCGCGGTGATATGCCGCTGTCCGGGGACTCTTCCTCTTCTTTCCTCCCTCCAATTTAGACAGTTCTTCGACCGTACTTGTTTTTTCACTAAACTCTCTGACCGTACTTGTCTCGTGGATCTAAATCCTTTTATTATTTTATTTTGATTCTTTGCGTATGCTAAATCCAAGATTTGGAGTAAATATTAATTTTGGAATTACTTTTAAAATTATTAAAAATATTTTTTATGAAAATATTGTTAAAATTAATCTTTAGTAAAATTAGAAGTAAATTCAGAAAGTATGTTTGGAATAAAAAAATATTTTTTCTAAATGTACTTTTAAAAATTTTAAAAACACATCCAAACGAGCATATAATGCAAGCTTTATTTTAACTTGATATTCACCTATTTGTTCATAATTGTGTGTTAGTAACTGCACAATTCATATATCTTGAATGAGAATCATAATCACACATTGCATTTTCCCATTCCATATTTATGTTACCCATAGTAGGTGAACATGTTATAATAGTTTGTTTACTAATCCGTAAGTGAAACAGGAGGAAGAAATGGGCAAAAGTCATAATCAAAATCATGTTTGAGTTGTTTCCTAAATTTTTATGGAATTAAAGTAAATAGTAATGATTTCATATAAACTATTTACTAATTCACCTAAATTGGTGAAAACCAATGTAATTATAGTAAAACATGATCCTCGCAGCGTAGTACTTACTCCTGAAAGTACCAAATCAAAACAAATCCATCCGGTCAACTTTCCTCCTTAATGAACTTGGTCTGACGACATCATCAATACATAATAGCAAATCACATCAGAAATGACAAAAGACAGAGAATTAAAAGCAAGATTCAACCCAAAAAGGCAAGTATGAATCCCGTAAACAAGGGATCAACAAAAGCCCTAGCCACAATATTGGAGCAAATAAAACTTTTTTATAACGAAACGGGGAGAGAGATGTCTAGGAGCTAAACTCCTTATTTCTGAGGTGAAAAAAAAGAGAAGAAAAGAAACGTTCCCAGGGGTTCTCCTCCAGATATTCCTCGAATCTAAAATGAAGCTGTGTTTTGTTTTTCTTGCTGACAAAGGTTTCTAGGGAGGAACCTTTCTTTAGGATTTTTTTTTTTTTTCTCATGCTCACACTATCATTCTACTGAAAAAATAGAAAAAAATAGTTTTTCTAGAAAAATTTTGGTATTTTTCAACTAAAAAAATCTCCACCAATTTTCTTCCCCTAACCCAATAATGCTATCACTTTACTGAAAAAAATAGAAAAAATTGTTGCAGTCATATTGAGAATAGGAATGTGATTGTGTAAATCCTAGAGGATATGGGAATGTATCTTATATTCCTATTAGAAGTAGATTACTTATTCAATGTTGTAATCCTAAAGGAAAAGGATTTTACCTATCGTACTACTATAAATAAAGGCACAAAGGGGTGAATCAAACACACCTCACAATTAAATCACTCTCTCTTCTCCATCAATATTGTCGGCCCCCTCTCTCTATATCCTAGAGCGTTCAATCAAATAGACTTATAACACGTTATCAGCACGCTCTTACCAGAAGCTGAGGAATTGACGCATCGTAGGAGGAGGCTATCTTCCACCAACTTCAAGGCTTATTCGTGTTCTGCTAATCAGGTACGCTTAAAATAAAAGAAGATATTTGAAACGTCCACGAAGCATGAAAACAGTCCCCATGATGCATGAACCCCTCTATATTTATATTTTCCTTTAGATATATATTGTATATGTCTATATTTTTGTCAATATATATATTTGTTTCATGCATTGCACAATTAAATTGTTATGTGGAATATGTGAGTCAAAGTATAAAATTCAATTACAAGCATATTTAGGGTTTCCCAAACCCTAAGGATTTTGAAAAAAAAAAAAAAAGGAAATTGGACATGGTGCAGCACACCACGACACCATCATTGTGGAATCAACAACCAGGCCTCAGCCTGGAATTAAACTTGGGCAAGGCCTGAAGCCCCGAGCCCAATCGTTGCCCAGGCCTGCAGCCTGCACCTTGGCCCGTGTCTTCCACGCCAACCCACAAGGCTAGGCTTGGTCATTGCGGCTTACTTCCCACATCACATGTAGATAACCCATACGGTTAAGCTCCCCATGCGACCCAAGGCTAGCTCCTACTAGGCCTTGCCCCATGCCTTCCCCTCAACCTAACCTTGAAACCCAGTTGCGGCTAGGGTTTCTCCCTCACCTCTGTGCCCTGCAACCTACTCCTGAGGACTTTTGGGCCTTGCCTTTTACTCAAGGCACCCAACCCGTGCCTAATTATATTTGGGGCTATATTTTCGATCCAATAATATTATTCTAATATTATTTAGCTTCTATAATCAACCATGTATGGCCCGATTTATTGAATTAATTAAAAACGACCAACAGTCCATTAATCTGATAATGAATCCAAAATTATTGACCTAAAGATTACTTTTGGACATTAACGATTCAATAATTTATTTTTATACTTTAAACTGTGACATACTTTCGTAGTAACAAAACTCTCACACTTGAGTTCCCGAAGAACCTCAAATTCACTATATTCAAATTAATATATTACATTCTGTGTTTCTTGCAGGAATCTCTCATTATGAACTAATTGTTCATAAAACTAAATTGAACTTGTAGTTTCAAATTTAGTGTCTTTGAAACCTGAAATTTTCATTCAAAACATACCACATGAAACCTGTAGTTTTCATGAATAAATTAAACTAATACATGTCTATAAAACCTGCATGTTCTACAATATATGTTTATGGCTTACCATATGACTAATCACATTTTTCCCTTTATTTTAGGGACATGTCAAACTTGAACAAGCTCGATTTCTCTGCTCTAGAAGTCTCTAGAAGAAACTATCTGAAGTGGGTTCAAGACGTGAAGCTTCATCTGATCGCAAAAGGTATTAGAGCCACCATCAAGACACTTATCACCAACAAACCTGTTGACAAAGCTCAGAAGGCTATTGCAATGATCTTCATTTGAAGACACATCCATGATGCACTTGCAAACTGAGTATCTCACTGAGGATGACCCATGTACCCTCTGGCTTGCTCTGGCCGACCGTTTCGATCACCAGAAATACATATACTTGCCTGAAGCAAGACATGACTGGCAGCATCTTCGCTTCCAGGACTTTAAGTCCATGAATGAATACAACTCTGAAGTTTGTAGAATCTGTTCACTGTTGAAATTCTGTAAAGTGGAACTAGCCGAATCAGATCTCCTGGAGAATACCTATTCGACCTTTCATGCCACTAATATTGTCCTGCAGCAACAATATAGGGCATATAAATTCACCAAGTATTCGGATTTGATCTATGTTTTACTTCTCGCTGAAAAACAAAACCAGCTTTTGATGAAGAATCATCAAGCTTGATCGATTGGCTCGAATGCCGAGCCTGAAGCGCAAACGACACATTTTAGTAGCCATAAACGATGAAAAAATCGTCATTTCGTAGCAATGGGCGGCAAGCCCCACCACGGGCCCAAGGTCAACAAAGTGCCACATATAAAGGAAGATATGTAACCCAGCAACGTCCTCCACTCGCCCCTAAGGCCCCAAACTTCAAGAACAAGGGCAAAGCTCTCGTTCAGCCCATTTCTATTGAACTGGACATGTGTTATCGCTGTGAATCAAGGGATCATTGGTCACGCATATGCCGAGCTTCCCCTGAGGCTATTGTCAAGTATCATTCCCGTCGTGAGTCTAACTTTGCACATGTGGATCATCCGAAAGATGCAACTACATCAATGGAGATATCGCATTTTCAAGAGGCGTCAGTGTCGATGGATGAATAAATTAGTCATGTTTTTAGGGTGTTTACTCCTAGTGCCGAACCCACTAGGAGTGGCCGGCCTTAACCCCTTATTTTTCTAGGTTTATGGTTTAATTTTGAACAACTTTTCTAAGTATTTGGAATAATTTGTTTGGTTTTGGTTTGTTTTGAATTATGGATTGTTACTTGAATAGATATTATTTTCTCGAATTGCTTAATTGAATGAATGAAATTATATTTATACATGTGACCAATTCAATCAATTTATTTCTAGGTATGTCTAGTGGGGAAGTTAGTTGTTTGGCAGATGGTGCAACCACGCACACCATCTTGCATGAACGACACTATTTTACTAACTTAATACTCAAGAAAGCTCATTTGGCAACTGTCTCAAGCTCATCCAACCTGATTAAAGGATACGAAAGACACGTATCATGTTGTCCTAATGGTACTCTCTTGACTATCAAGGAGGCACTTTATTCTCCACGTTCTCGAAGAATGTTGCTAAGTTTTAGAGATATACGAGATAATCAATATCACATTGAAACCACTGAAAATAATGGTTCTGAATTTCTTTGTATCATTTCATACGAATATAGCCAGAAACGTATTCACGAGAAGTTGGAACGTCTGCCGAGTGAGTTGTACATCACAACCATTCGCAAGCATAGAAGCCCATAGTGTGGTCGGCCCTATGCCTGAGTTCCACTACACTTTGTTGCTTTGGCATAACTGTTTAGGACATCATGGACGTGACATGATGCGCCGTACTCTCAAATCTTCACACGAGCATAAGTTACATCCCTATGTTGGACTTCTGCCATGTAAAGCATGTTCTTTAGGGAAGTTGAACACTCAACCCTCATATACAAAAATTATTCACGCCCCCCTTAAATTTCTTTAAAGGATTCAAAAGGACTTTTGTGGGCCTATCCAACCAACTTGCGGACCATTTAGATACTTTATGGTGTTGGTTGATGCATCAACACGATGGTCACATGCTTGCCTATTGTCCACACGCAACGCTGCGTTTGCTAAACCCCTAGCTCAAATCATTAAGCTAAGGGCTCACCACCCTGATTATCCGATTAAGTCGGTTTGACTGGATAACGCTGGAAAGTTTACGTTATAAGACTTTTGACGATTATTGCATGTTAGTAGAGATTGATTTGGAACATCTTGTACCCCATGTTCACACCCAAAACGGCCTGGCAGAAGCTTTCATAAAGTGCCTTCAATTGATCGCTTGGACTTTGGTTATGCGAACTAAACTACCAGTATTTGCCTGGGGCTATGCAATATTGCACGTAGCTATGTTGGTCCACCTGAGGCCCATCGCTACTCAACCACATTCACTGTTATAGTTAGTCACTGGATACGAGCCTGACGTCTTGCATTTACGGGTGTTTGGGTGCGCCATTTTTGTAGTCAATAGCGCCGCTGCTACATACCAAAATGGGTCCTCAAAGAAAAATGGAAATCTATGTCAGTTATGATTCACCATCAATTGTTCGCTACTTAGAACCCTTGACAGGAGATCTTTTTGTCGCACGTTTTGCAAATTGTCACTTTGATGAGTACAGCCTTCCCGTCTTTAGGGAGAGATAAGCATTCCTGTAAAACGCCACGAATTGTTGTGGTATACTCCCACTATGTCTCATTTAGATCCCCACACTGCCCAGTATGAAACTGAGCTATGACGAATTATAGATCTTCAAAGCATTGCTCAGAGCATGCCGGATGCTTTTAATGATTTAGTAAAGGTGACAAGATCACATATACCCACTGCAAACGCACCTACAAGGATAGATGTACCATGTGTACATCCACAACCTGTTAAGGTTGAACCGTCCCTGAAGGTGGGGAGGCCGCACCTTCCACGCGACAAGGTACATTGGCGGCTAGCCAATCATCTGCTTCGACCCTGAAGCAATGTTCTAAAAATTGGCTTAGGTGGTGGTGTGCCGCCGGGATTTATGCCAAAGCATTTATAAAATCGTGTAGAAGTTAGTCGGCCGCCTAGGCTCTATCTAGGTGGTGGTAGGCGGCGGTCTAGGCGGGCTCGTCAGAGCCTCGATGGTTATCCATTTCGCTACAATCTGTCAAGAAGAGAGAGAGAGCATAGTAGAAATCTTGGTGATACAGACAAACCCCCTTGATAGTTGAAAGAACCCAGCTCGAATTTCTTCACAAATATCAATGAGAGCTTTGACGATGAGAGTAGCTTATTGAGGTGGCGGGAGCTCTAAAAGGGGGCCTGATTCTGAGAGAGAGAGTAGAAGACGCAACACCTCTTTCTCGAAAACAGAAAGGTACGATGGAAACGAGGTGTTGGAAGAGGAAATGGAAGGCTGGTTATAATAAAAGGGGGTATTTACCAAAAAAAAAGAGAGAGAGAGGTATACAATTTGGTTCCTTTAATTAGTTTATAGACAAGGGGGTGTTTACCAAAAAGATGGAGAGAGAGGGGTATACAACTTGGTTCATTTAATTAGTTTATAGAAATGAGGCGTTTATAATGAAATAAAAAGAGGTGATGCGGCAAAACAAAGATGATAAGAGTGAAAAGAAAGCAAGGGTGGAGTGGGTAGGCTAGGCTGGGCCATTTTATATGGTTACAATCTTATTAACTTTTAAATTGTGGTTAATAATAACAACCCACTAATATTATTAGGTTTTGTTATGATAAATTTAATTATTATATTTCCTTATTTTCCTATTATTTTGTATTTTATGTGTATTTAAATTATGAACTTATTGTACATGTGTCATCTTACAATACTTCTCACTATAGTTATATGGCATATATGCTTAATGTATTTTTAAATTTTGGACTTGTTGGATACTCTTTTTGCATTTTATCATTTTTTTATTATCTTATCCACAATACTAGTGTCTAGAGTTTTTTAGAACCTTACCTGAAGTGTGCAAGACCCCTTAGTTCAAAGGATTCATAACCCCGAAAGAGGAAAATGGCACCAACTAGTGACCCTAGTTTGAATCCGACCATTGCTCACTCATCGTTTTTCAACGCATGAGGTTATTCTAGATTACGGTGATGTTTCATATGAAACATGTCGTCCTCCTGAAAATCGCGAGATTTTAGTCCACTACATACTATTGGATGAGATTTGGAATAAGAATGAGATAATCGTCGATGATGCATTCGCATACTCAGTAACTACTGACATTATGCTTAGCGATGACATTGAACCACGTTCCATTGATGAATGCTGACGTAGAATTGATTGTTCAAACTGGAAATAAGCAATCCAGGTCGAACTCGATTTGCTCGTGAAACGTAAAGTGCTTGGACTTATTGTTTTCACACCACCACGCGTGAAGCCTGTTGGCTGCAAGTGGGTTTTCGTGAGGAAAAGTAATGAGAAGAATGAAATAGTGCAATACAAAGCACGCCTCGTAACGCAATGCTTCTTTCAGTGCATTGAGATTGATACGAGGAGACGTATTCCCCCGTAATGGACTGTTATAACGTTCCACTACCTAATCAGTTTGGTAGTTTTTGAAAAATTGAATATGCAACTTATGGACGTGGTAACCGCGTATCTCTATGGGGATCTAGATACAGAAATTTACATGAAAGTTCCATAAGGACTACCATTGACTGGTTCAAATAGTTCTAGACCACGAAACACTCTCTCAATTAGGTTAAAGAGGTTACTCTACGAATTGAAACAATCCGGGCGGATGTGGTATAACCATTTGAGTGAATATTTGACAAGTCAGGGTTATGTGGACAACGAATTATGCCATATGTGTTCATAAAGAAGTCACATTCCATATTTGCAATCGTTGTAGTTTATGTCGATGACATGAACCTCATTGGGACTCCCGTGAAGCTTGAGGAAATTAATGCACACTTGAAATCGGAATTTAAGATGAAAGATCTTGGGAAAACTCGATACTATCTCGGCCTAGAGATCGAGCATTGTTTGGATGGAATCTTAGTACATCAATCAAACTACACCCAAAAGGTGTTGCATCGTTTTAATGAGGATAAAGCGAAGCCTTCGAGTACACCTATGGTCGTTCGAACTTTAGATGCTAAACGAGATCCCTTCCATCCAAAGGAGGACAAAGAAGAGATTTTGGAACCCAAAGTTCCTTACCTAAGTGCAATTAGGGGCTTTATTGTACTTGGCTAAGTGCACTAGACCTAACATCTCATTCGCCATGAATCTTTTGGCAAGATACAGCAATGCGCCCACCACAGACACTGGAATGATGTTAAAGACATTTTTCTTTACCTCAAGGGTACGAAGGATTTTGGCTTATTCTATACCCGTGAATCTTCGAGTGTTGCCACCCCTATGGTTCTCAGATTAATTCTCGCCTTGTGGGTTACACATATGTTGGATATCTGTTTGACCCACATAAGGTACGTTCTTAAACGGGCTATGTCTTTACTGTTGGAGACATCACTATATCTTAGAGGTTTACCAAGCAAACGCTAGTTGTGACTTCGTCGAACCATGCTGAGATTCTCGCCCTGCATAAAGCATCGCGTGAGTGCTTTTGGCTGAGAGAAGTTATGGAACATATTCGAAGCATTAATGGTTTTACATCAGTCGTTGACCTTCCTACGACGATCTTTGAAGACAATGCAGCATGTATTGAGCAGTTGAAGAAGGGATACATGAAGAGAGACAACACCAAGCACATAGCGCCAAAGTTCTTTTACTCACACCAGCAACAACAGTATCAGAACATTAAAGTTAAGCAAATTCGTTCCCAGGACAACCTGGCCGATCTCTTCACCAAGTCATTGCCCAAGTCTATATTTCAGAAGCTCGTCTAAGAAATCAGTATGCGTAAATTATCTAAGTTGAATTGCTTGTAGTTATCTTATTTAGAAGTTATGTCTAACTCAGGGGAGTATCTAGAAGCATACTCATATGATCTTAATGTACTCTTTTTCCTACGATTAGGAGCAATTTTCCCACTGAGTTTTTGTTACCTAATGAGGTTTTAATCCTAGGATGATCATACTCCATTGAGTTCACTACTTTCATTATATTTGACGCTTGTTTTAAGACATTATGCATACTTCTCACTTTTCTCCTTAGTCTATGGGTTTTTTCCATGCCTTGGGTTTTACCATAACGAGGTTTTATGAGTTTTACTACAAATGTATTCTTCAAATAAATTTGAAACTCGTGATTATCCGTTGCGCCGATGACTTCATCAACTATTCTACCTTATCTGCTGAAGATCTGATGCGATAATTTGTTGAATATTAACACACTCAAGGGGGAGTGTTGCAGTCATATGAGAATAGAAATGTGATTGTGTAAATCCTAGAGGATATGAGAATGTATCTTATATTCCTATTAGGAGTATATTATCTATTCAATGTTGTAATCCTAAAGGGAAATGTTTTTATCTATCATATTACTATAAATAAAGGCACAATGGAGGTGAATCAGACACACCTCACAATTAAATCACTCTATCTTCTCCCTCAATATTGTCGGCCCCCTCTCTTTCTAAACCCTAGATCATTCAATCAAATAGGCCTACAACAAAAATAATTTTTTTTTAAATTTCGGTTCTTTTTATTTTATAATTTTATTTCATTCTTAAGAAAAAAACCCAATAAATTTTATTTATTACCATATATTTATTTTTGATAAATTCCTTTAATGATAGTTTTGAATATATATTTTTTTTTTGTCAAAAAATAAGTTTGTTAAATTAGATGTTAGAATAGGGTTTAGGGTTTAGAATAGGAAGTAGACAGAGTTCGAATCCACATTGTGGTACAAGAGTAACACTCGTCTCCACTGGTATAGTAGATGATCACTTGCTATTGTTTTGAAAGTTTAGAAATTATATGAGGAATTGTATTAGCTTCCAAAAAATTCCAATTTTACTGAAATGAGGAATTGTATTAAAAAAAATACGGCATAATCGTATAAATTTACTGACTTATCCTTTTACATTTATTGTTTTTTCTCTTGAGCGATTGTATTTTCGAATAGTTAGGTGGCATTTATAAAAATATAACAAAATAAAGGGGCACAACTGCAAAAAGAGCCAATATTTTCAATTCCCGGGGTGAGGCCTCTTGGTTTAAAAGAGCACCACTGCAGTATTCCTGCCGATTTGGAAGTTTGAACCATGTCTACTTGTCACCCACCTGAGAGCTAAACGGCCGTTTTCCGTCGTCGGAATTAAGATTTCGATCAGAGCCCAAAGCCACAGGTTTCTAGGGTTTCTCTGATTGCAGTGGAACCCTCCGCTTTCAGCCATGGCGTCACCTCCTCGGTCGCGCGTCAATCAGGTTTGGTTTCCAATTAAATTCTTATAATAAAACCCTAGGGACTCACAGGAGCCATTTCACATTCAAATTTGAGATCTTTCTGAATATTGACGCGTTTATTTGAAGAATTGGTGATTAGTTTGTTTGAATTTTGCAGTGATGCACATTTTGTTTTGTTATTTCATTTTTTTTTTCTTCGGGTTGTGTTATTGGAGTATAATTGGGTAGAAATTGATGGATTTAGAAACACATTGTTTTTGTTATTGTTGCCAATTGTTCACGAAGGGTGTATTCTTTGTGGGGTTCAGGGACAGATTCAGTTGTATTACATTCTTACAGTAACTGAACTAGAAATCAGGTGTGATTCTTTGTGAAAGTGTTGGCTTTTACTGGTTTCTCCGAAAAACCGCAGTTGAATCTATAAATCTTTAATCATGAAAATGAAGTAATTTGTATAAACAGTTCTACATAACTCAGCTTTTCATTTGTGTGGATGTACAGTATTTTTCTTCAAAGAAAAGGAAGCCTTCATCACCCGCATCGATGTCTGGGACAAATGAAAAAGATGTAAAAACTATGGTAGAGGGTTCGCCCGGTGCCAAAGGCACTTTGGACAATTATTTGTTGGGTTCACAGGACAATAGTATCTCCCCAAAGCCGTCGCTCAGAGTTTGTGATTCATTAGCCCAGCAAGATCAAGTTCGAAGGAATTTGACATCAATGATGGATAATTCCTTGAAAGATGAATTTAAACAGCTCCCTTTGTCTTCTCAACTGCACTCTCGAGCTAATAATGCCTCCAAAGAAAATCAGAAGGAAACATCCAAGGGATTAACCAAGGTGGGTGATGGTGCAGTTGGAGATACGGTGAAGGATTACTTAGCTCTCACAGAAGGTGGGGAAAGTGCAGAACTTAAAGAGTTTGCAGCAGACTTTTTGTCTTTGTATTGCAGGTATTGTACTGGACTGTAAACATTTGGGCACCCTGATATATACTTTTTTATTTCTGAGCTTGCTCCTGTTGTTTTCCCTAACCTCTCATATTTCAAATTCTGCATTCTACATTCTACATTCTTTTCTTTTCCTCCAAAATCCATTTTGTTTTGTGTTAGTGATGTTCGACCAAATGAAAGTACTCTGCCAGAGATGAAAGTAAATGACCATAAGAGACAAGCTAGCCCATCTCAGCTTGACCGGGAGGACACGATATTTAAAAAGAGGCATCTCATTACCAATCAGTCACACATGGAACATGAATCAAGTTGCTGCAGTGAGAAGAGTTCTGAAGCCATGCAGTCTGGTCGTCCTGATGAAAATAGGGTATATGATTTCAAGACTTCTGAAAATGTGTTAACCTTGGTTAAATTTATACCCAGAAATTTTCTTATATTATGATCACACTTGATATGATATTGTTTTAATGTTATGGCCAGGTTACCGTCGTTAATGAACTGCTTGAGCTCCAGTCAACCTTGAAAACATGCAGTAATACACCAAAACAATTTGTAGACATGTTTAAATGCTATACACCAGGCTCGTTGACTAGAAAATCTATTGTTCGTGAAACCCCCAAGTCACGTGGAAGCTCATCATTTTCACCTGGAGAAGCTTTTTGGAATTATGCAATTCAACTTGCTGATGGTCTGTGTGCACAAGCAGCAGAAGTAATTAGTGCTGCAGACATCCAATATCATAGTAAAAGTTCATGCAATTTGAGAAATGCACCCTGTGACGGCAAGTCAAAGGAAATGCTGAATGAAGGTGAGCGCATGGATAACGGTGCTAATTCAGGGCCAGAGGGGAAGTATAGAAAGGATTTAGATAAAGAAGTATCCCCATTGCCGGTTAAACATTTAGATTTTTCTTGCGAAGACAAAAATTTGGGTGAAGTTGTACCATTACCACATCATTGTGATGCATACAATTTAAAAAGCGCAGCTCTTATAGGTGGTGAGCAATCTGAATCCAGCCTTACAGACCATAGAGGTCTGAGAAATACTATCATGACCCGTTGCAGCAAATCTCAGGAAAATCAAGTCATATTTCGAGAACCAGAACCAGATACTGTTAATGCAGTGACCAACATGAAAGTGGATTTGACAGGCAAAGATAATGATAGCATGACATCTTATTCACCAGTTGATGAAGTCGTGAAGTTGAATGGTAACCATGAATCTAGTGAAGCAAGTACTCCTTCAAGCTCTATGCCTCTCAAAGATCGCCTCAATCTGAACAGTTGGCTTCCACCAGAAATATGCAGCATATACAGAAAGAAAGGAATTTCAAAACTTTATCCTTGGCAGGTATCTTTCAAATTCTGAGTTAAGCCAGTGCTCAATTCATTAGTTGTGGAGGATAACAGATGGAGGGCAGGTTAATTGGGTGGTCTGCTCTCTTGATATTTGGGTGGATCTTCCATCTACTTAGTTTGTTTTGACACGTGATTAGGTTATTGTGTTTTTTGGTTTTTCTTGTTTGTCAAATGGAACTAGGACTGGGTTGGGGTTTGATGCTTCTATTTGGTTTAACTATGATGGACAGTGCTACCACCTGAACTTTCTTCCAAATTTTTATTCGACCTACATGACATCATCACATTGAGTTACACAATGTGGCTGTGTTCTTGAATGCAATGATGTAGTGCTCATATCACGTGCCACACAAGTTGGGAAAAAGGTTGGGAGATGTTCAGTTCTTAAGCATTTTCCATTTAGGATACCTTTTCAAAGACGATGATAATCTACATTTCACTTAAATGAACTACTGTCTATGCAGTTAGGTTTGTTGTGTGATTTGGGGATGAAAACTTGGAAATAGAGTTGGGATAGGTTTGCCTTGAGGAAGCATTGTCAATCACAAACCCATAATCTTCCTACGAAAGGACAACAAGAAAAATGGTGCTCATGGTTGATGGTGTTGTCACAAGTAAATGGTTAAAATTGTGATTTCCCAATCTCTAATCTTTATTATGGTTTTCAATTTGTTTAAGAAAGGACTTTATTATGGTGTCTGAAGTTTTATTTTTTTATGTATATGCACGAACCATTCGCCCTGGTCTTCCACTTTCTCTTTATTACTTTTTATCAGGTTGAGCTTTTGTCTATTATTATTTTGAAATTATATATATTCATTATAACAAATGATCCAGTGTTGTGGTTTGGCCTTGAACCAACAATATACTTCTCTTTACTGTTAGACTAGGATTTCATTGTTTTAAGGGCTTTAGATATGAGTACCTTTCAACGTATTTATGTTTGGGACCTTGGGTTGTTGTGAATCTGTATTAAAACTAATTATCAAGCATAATGTAAGTGCATTCTCCATCTTTCAGGTTGACTGCCTTCAGGTGGATGGTGTATTGCAGAGAAGGAATCTCGTATATTGCGCATCAACAAGGTATTTATGCCACTTATTTTTATCTTAGTTTTTTCTGTCATGTTTTGTGCTTTTGAGTTTTCCTTAGTGATTTGATAGGGTTGTACAGTGTATGTAACATCTAGTAACCCTTTAACATTTCGGAGTTTTAAGCCACTGTTGTTTTTTTCATTTATTAATTCTCTACTTTATCATTCTATTTGTGCTTCCAGTTTATGTATCAGAAGATTTTATTATTTTCACTCATTTAACTTTTATGTTCTTATCACATTGAAAAGATGGAGTTGTTGTTTTGTAGAAAAAAGTTTATGCTGTTTTTTTTACTTTCACTGGAAGGCATCTATATGTTTCTTAGTCTTGCTTCCTCTGCCACAGTGCTGGCAAAAGTTTTGTTGCAGAAATTCTAATGTTGCGGCGGGTCTTATCAACTGGAGCAATGGCTTTACTTGTACTGCCCTATGTGTCAATTTGCGCAGAAAAGGTGATATTGTTGTTTCCCTCAAGATTTGGAAGTTTGGGTTATTGTTTCTTTTGAAATGTAATATCAATTACAAATTCCTATCTCGTGCAGGCAGAACATTTGGATGTACTTCTTGAACCACTTGGTAAGCGTGTTCGTAGTTATTACGGAAACCAAGGTGGTGGAACACTTCCCAAAGATACTTCTGTAGCTGTCTGCACAATAGAAAAGGCAAACTTTTTGATAAACAGGCTGCTGGAAGAGGGTCGTCTTTCAGAAATTGGGATTATTGTGATTGATGAACTGCACATGGTACTTTAAGCCATATTTTTTTGGTTATTAACTTATGTATCAACATCCTGTTGTCACTTCTATGCATATTTATTCTTCCTTCGTTTCTAGGTTTGGTTATCTTCTTTTGGTGTATGCCTATTGGGTGGACTTATTTAAATGCCTCTCTTGCTTATAAATCATTAACAGGTTGGAGATCCAAGTAGGGGTTATCTTCTGGAACTTCTGTTGACCAAACTTCGTTATGCAGCTGGTGAAGGCAATTCTGGATCAAGTAGTGGAGAAAGTTCAGGTATGAGTAGTGGTAAGGCTGACACTGCTCATGGTCTGCAAATTGTTGGGATGAGTGCAACTATGCCAAATGTGGCAGCCGTTGCTGATTGGCTTCAGGTAAGTGGAACTATAAAACAAACTATTATCCTCCACTATATCCTTTTTGAACAAATGTTTCATTGTAGGCGGTTGTCATTAACTCCTGCAGGTCTCATAATACGCGTAGCTGTGGATCTTTCAACATTGATTTAAGATTATAGATATAAATAATCTTGACTTGGATTAAAGGGTTTTTATCAAAGAGGGATTGAATTCCACTCTTGAAGTACTTTGCTATACATGATAAGTACACCTTCTCATAAGCTCTGTCTTCTGAGGGAAAGAAAATCAAATAGTTTAGTCTTGTTCTGAATCTTCCGGTGGAATGTTTTTTTTGACCAATCACCCAATTAGACAATCAACTAGCTTGATTACAAATTTTAACCTTTTCAGTGACTGAAGAGAACTACCATGTTTTTAAAATTTTGTATTTTACATTCTTATGGGCCAACTTGATATTGGACGAACTGTTTATTCCTGAAGCATTATACAGTCGACAGGTTAAATGTTGGCTTTTTAGAAAGCATTTCATTATTCATGTCTTTCATGTTTTCTTTTATTAGAATTTCTGGTTATGTTACCCCAAATTACGAACTAAACGCATCACACACACAAGATGTATGATGGATGTTACAACAGGAAGTGGGGTATGTGAGTTGAGAGTGGATTGGTTGGAAGTGAGTTGCATGTAGTTACCATCTTAATTTAATTTGTTGATCTATGATTAAGATGCTTAAAGGGTGCCTTTGATATTATATGAGTTGAATAAGAGTATTTTCTGTTGAAAATTTTACTAATTTATTTTGAATTTGTTCACATATTGTGTTGAGGGAGTACAAAGTACCCTCCTAGCTAGTGCACACATCTTTCCATAATTTTCCAGCTTCATGGTGTGGCTGGCCATATTCTATGCCTAACTTTCAACAAATATACATGCAGGCTATAGAAACTGGAAACTTCCTCTGTAAGCTTTCCAATTGTATTTCTGAATTAATTAGTTTGTACACTGTGAAGACATATATATAGCCTTTGGCTATTTACAAAGATACCCCTTAACTACCTACCTTATAACAGTTCTAACTAATCACAAACATTAGCACAGCTAAGTACATTTAGAGATAACAGACTATTGTACAGTAACTGAAATGGGTGACTTGTCATTTTCCCTAATACACCCCCTCAAGCTAGAAGGGGAATCAGAACAGATTCCAATGGGTAGCTTGGAGCATAGGAACTGAAATCGACTTTTGGATAATGACTTGGTGTGAAGATCAGCTACTTGGTCTGCACTGCAAACATACTGAACTTTGAGAAGATTAGCTAGAACCAATTCTCGAATATAGTGGTAATCAATCTCAACATGCTTTGTACGAGCATGAAAAACAGGATTAGAAGCTAGGGAGATGGCTGAGATGTTGTCACACCAAAGTGTAGGCAGTGTAGGGATAGGGAAGTGAAGATCTCTGAGGATTTTGCAAACCCAAGTAAGTTCAGCAGCTGTATGAGCTAAGGAGCGATATTCAGCCTCTGTAGATGACCGTGCAACAGTACTTTGTTTCTTAGCACTCCAGCTAATGAGATTGGAGCCTAAGAACACACAATAGCCACTGGTAGATCTTCGATCAAAAGTGCAGCCAGCCCAATCAGCATCAGAGTATGCGGAAAGATGGGTGGAACCCTTGGTGAACCATAAACCATGGGAAAGAGAGCCTTTAAGAAATCGAAGAACTCGTTTAGCTGCCTGAAGATGTTGTTCCCTGGGAGCATGCATGAATTGGCAGATCTGGTTGACAGCAAAAGCGAGATCCGGTCTAGTCCAAGTAAGGTATTGTAATCCCCCAACAATAGAACGATATTCAGTGGGGTTGGACAAGAGAGGCCCACTGTTATCTAATTTTGTGGAACTAAGGGGTGTGCAGCACGGTTTGGCACCCTCCATGTGTGTTTTCTTAAGAAGATCAATTAAGTACTTTGATTGATGAACAAAAATACCATGGGAGGATCTGTGTACTTCTAAGCCCAAGAAGTAGTGTAAAGGACCAAGATCCTTTACTGGAAACTGAGAACTGAGTTGGGTGATAAACTGTTGACAGATTTGAGAGTGAGGACCGGTGACTAGGATGTCATCAACATACACAAGAACAATAACCAAATGAGGACCAGGAAGAACAAACAATGAGGCATCAGATGAAGATTGTTGAAACCCAAGAGAATGAAGAGCTTGAAAAAGTTTATCAAACCAAGCTCGAGGAGCTTGTTTTAGTCCATATAGAGATTTCTGCAACTTACAAACTGAAGTAGGAGAATTGGGATCAACAAACCCAGGAGGTTGTTGCATGTAGACATCCTCCTTTAAGTCACCATGAAGAAAGGCATTGCTTATATCCAATTGATTGAGAAACCAGTTATGTTGGACAGCAAGACTGAGTAAGATCCGAATGGTAACGGGCTTGGCAACTGGACTAAAGGTCTCTTGGAAGTCAATACCTTCTTGTTGATGAAAACCCTTGGCTACTAGTCTGGCCTTAAATCTGTCAATGGTGCCATCAGCCTTTTTCTTAACTCGAAACACCCATTTACATCCAACTATATTTTGGGAAGGATGAGAGGGGACAAGGGACCAAGTACCAGTAGAGATCAATGCATTATACTCATCTTGCATTGCAGCTCGCCAATGAGCATGCTTAGAAGCTTGCAGGTATGTACTAGGAACATAATCAGTGTCAACAGGAAGAGGATGCTTAGTTGCTGCATAGGCATGAGGGAGAGATTTATAAATGCCAGCCTTGGATCGTGTGATCATTGGATGAGAATTAAGAGGAAGAAGAGAAGGATTGGACTGACTTAAGGGTAAGGTGGAGGATTCAGAAACAGAGTCAGAACTGGAAGCAGCAGGGACTGAAATGGGTTGAGAAGAAGAAGGATGGGGAGAAGCAGAGGCAGAAGGAGAAACAGGTGAAGAAGATGGGGCACGGCTAGGAGAGAGATGGGGAATATATTTCTCAAAATAAAGATCCAAAGAGGAAGAGCTTGCTGGTGAGGATGGGGTGAGACAGAAACAGGGAGGCTGCAGGGATTGAAATGGATAAGAACTTTCATCAAAGACAACATGTCTGGAGATGTAAATTCGAGTGGTGAGGGGATCAAGGCATCGATAGCCTTTGTGTTGAAGGCTATATCCAAGAAAAATACAACTTTTGCTCTTGGCATCTAATTTGCTGTGAACATATGGTTGGAGCCAAGGAAAGCATTGGCAACCAAACACTTTAAGTTTAGAGTAATCTGGGGGTTGCTTGAATAATAATTCCCATGGTGATGAGGAAATACCAGATATGGGAAGCCGATTAATAAGATAGATGGCAGTGGAGAAGGCTTCAACCCAAAATACATGAGGAACATTAGAAGCAACTAGCAAAGTACGAGCTGTCTCAACAAGATGCCTGTGCTTTCTCTCAGCACAACTATTCTGTTCAGGAGTATGTGGACAGCTAAATTGGTGAAAAATGCCATGCGTACTGAGAAAGGAAGCAAAAGCAGTACTGATGAATTCACCCCCTGAATCTGAGCGCAAAACTTTGATTTTATTTCCAAGTAAATTTTCTACATAAGATTTGAAGACAACAAATGTAGAAAAAACATCTGACTTGGACTTCAAAGGAAAAAACCAGCTATATTTGCTAAAGTCATCAACAATGAGCAAATAGTACTTGAAACCACTGTTTGAGATAACAGGTGCTGGACCCCACAGATCACAGTGTAGAAGTTGAAGACTGTGAGTTGTTGTGGAAGAAGAAATTCCAAAAGGAAGCTTATGATTCTTGGCAAGAGCACAATCTGAGCAGAAGAAATCAGTAGTAGACTTGCCATGTAAGGACAGTTTATTAGTAGAAAGTACCCTTCTGAAAATAGAGGAGGATGGATGACCCAAGCGTCGGTGCCAAACTTTGACAGGAGCCTTGACACTGAGCAGAGCTGAGGGAGAAGAAATTGAAGAAGAGCTGGAACCTTGAAGAGGGTAGAATCCATCTCTAACGGGTCCCCGCAAAAGCATCTTCCCCGAAATACGATCCTTAACAGTGGATCCATAAGGGTCAAGGGTCAATGAACAGTTATTATCTTTGAGAAACTGATAAGCAGACAAGAGATTATGTTTCATGTAGGGAACATGTAAAACATTCTGCAGCTTAAAGGAAGTATGAGGAGTATGCAAAGCAGATGAACCAATATGATGAATAGAAAGACCTTTACCATCACCAATATACACTTTATCTTCACCAGTATAGGGAGTGGGAGAAGAGATGTTGGCAACATCATTAGTAATGTGAGAAGTCGCACCCGAGTCAATCAACCAAGGCTGAGCTGGTTTGGCAGATTGGTTGACATACATAGCAGCGAGTTTAGCTGGAGGAATCCGACCACAGATGTCAGGATTCATTCGATCAAAACAATCAAGAGCCTCATGACTGTTAGAACCACAGATTTGACATGGAACTTTGAAATGGGAAGAGCCTTGAGGATGACGAGAGCCTTGAAAATTACGATTTCCACGAGTGTTGGAGTAATTGCCACGGTTCATTTGGAAATTGCGATTGCCTCTGTGAGAGAAGGAATGGCCTCTGTTATGTTTGCCACGATTTGCAGATTTGGATTGTTGCCAGGATGAAGATTGGTGCTGAGCAGCGAACACAGAAGGAGTAGGTAGCAGAGGAGGCTGAGAGTGCACCGAGAAGGCTTGAAAAGGTTCAGCAGCAGAGGATGAACTGATATTTTTGCGTCGAGCCATGGACAGTTCTTTAGTGAGAAGAAGACCATGGAGTTCATCAAGAGAAGTAGAGGACAATCGAAGCATGATTGAGTCAATGAATGACTCAAAATCATCAGGCAAGCCATGAAGTGTGGCTGCAATTAGGTCGCGATCAGAAACGGAGGCACCAGCAGCTTGCAAGGAGTCTGAGATTTCCTTAATTTCTTGAAGATACTCGGAGATGGAGCGAGAACCTTTCTGAACAGATTGGAGACGCGACCGTAATTGATGAATATGAGCCTCTGAAATTCCACCAAATCTCTGTTCAAGCTTCAACCAGAGTTCGCGAGACGAAGAAACACCCACCGTGAAGGGGATGATTTCCTCAGAAAGTGTGGAATTGAACCAGATCAAGAGATTTTGATCTTTTTCGTACCATTCCTCAAAGGCAGGATTAATGTTGCGATCAGGTAGGAAAGGTGATGGACAAACATCAGTACCATCAATGATTCCAAGAAGCTTGTAACGCCGTAGAATTGGGCCAAACAGCGCACGCCATGGCAGATAGTTCGATCGTTTCAGTTTGATCGGCACCATGCTGCCGATGTTATGGATCGTAAGGGAGGTGTAGGAACTCAGAGGACTTGGATTTCCAGAGAAATTAGGGTTTTGAACCGACGGAGAAGACGATTCAGGTGGTGGCGAAGATGAGTGCGCCGCCATAGCTTGCAAAGACGTTGATGCAAGAGAGATCGGAGAAGAGAAACTGAAGAATCAGAGGAGAAGAACAGAAAGATCGATCAAGAATCGATCGATCGATCGAGTCGAGGGAGCGGAAGGATCGATGCTGTGAAGCAGAAATGGCGTGATACCATATAGAAACTGGAAACTTCCTCTGTAAGCTTTCCAATTGTATTTCTGAATTAATTAGTTTGTACACTGTGAAGACATATATATAGCCTTTGGCTATTTACAAAGATACCCCTTAACTACCTACCTTATAACAGTTCTAACTAATCACAAACATTAGCACAGCTAAGTACATTTAGAGATAACAGACTATTGTACAGTAACTGAAATGGGTGACTTGTCATTTTCCCTAATACAGGCTGCACTATACCAGACAGAATTTCGACCAGTACCATTAGAAGAATATATTAAAGTTGGTAACACCCTTTATAACAAGAAAATGGATATTGTTAGAACATTTCCTAAAGTGGCTGACCTTGGTGGTAAAGATCCAGATCATGTTGTGGAGCTGTGCAATGAGGTGGGGACTTTTTACATCCCATCTTTTACTGAAGTTGTTTTGAGGCACTAATTTGAAAGTTGATCAATGATGAATTGAGGGAAATGTATCTCAGGTTGTTCAAGAGGGTCTTTCCGTGCTAATATTTTGCTCTAGTCGAAAGGGATGTGAATCAACAGCGAGGCATGTTTCAAGATTCCTCAAGAAATTTTCACCTAACATTCACAGTGATGACAGTGAATTTCACGATGTTGCTTTGGCTATTGATGCCTTACGAAAGTGCCCTGCTGGCTTGGATCCAGTATTAGAAGAAACTCTTCCTGCTGGTGTTGCCTATCACCATGCTGGCCTCACGGTATTCTTTTGCTTTGGGTTGCCTTCCTTTAAGTTTTTACTATTCTTTCCCTATAATTTTTTCTGTTTTCCATTTGTTATTTATTTTGATGGTTAGTTTCCACAAATAGGTAGTAGATGAGCTTTTCTCCTGAATGAATCTGTCTGCTGTTGTTTATTCTTAGGTTGAGGAGAGAGAGATTGTCGAAAATTGCTACCGTAGAGGCCTGGTACGTGTCTTAACTGCTACATCTACCTTAGCAGCTGGGGTTAATCTACCAGCTAGGCGGGTCATTTTTCGTCAGCCCAAGATTGGTCGTGATTTTATTGATGGGACTAGGTACAGACAGATGGCTGGTCGGGCTGGTCGAACTGGAATAGATACAAAAGGAGAAAGTGTATGTATTAGTGTCTATTCTTCTTCTTCAAGGATTCTCTTAAATAATCAGTTTGTTATATGTGTATGCCGTGATCTTTGTGTAATTTGCTTTTTATTTTTAGTTCATTCTTTTATTTTGCTTTTTCAGTTGGTATAACCATTTCATTTATTTTAATATGTATACTTTTTTCTTGACCAGGTACTTATTTGCAAGCCAGAAGAGATCAAAAGAATTATGGGAGTTCTTACTGAAAGCTGTCTGCCATTGCGTTCTTGTCTATCTGAAGATATGAATGGAATGACCCATGCTATCTTAGAAGTTGTAGCTGGGGGAATGGTTCAAACTGCTAATGACATTCATCGATATGTTAGGTGCACACTTCTAAACTCCACTAAACCATTTCAAGATGTGGTGAAATCAGCACAGGAATCTTTGCGGTGGTTGTGCCATAGGAAATTTCTAGAATGGAATGAGGATACTAAGTTATACAGTATCACACCTCTTGGACGTGCAGCATTTGGCAGTTCTCTCTGCCCTGAAGAATCACTTGTAAAGATTCTAACTTATTCTTGTTATTGTCCAATTAATTGCCCAAATATCTTTGTTATCTGTACATCATTGAGCCTAAACTCGTCAGTACAATAACTCACTTGTGCGATGGATTATATTTTTCTGTTAGCTGACCCCTACTACTTGAATTTAGGTAATGCATTTGACATTGATCATGCTTTCTCTATTGATGTTCTAGATTGTGCTGGATGATCTTTCAAGAGCAAGAGAAGGGTTTGTGCTTGCATCTGATTTGCATTTAGTTTACCTAGTAACACCAATAAATGTTGACGTTGAGCCTGATTGGGAACTGTATTATGAACGGTTCATGGAATTGTCGGCTCTTGACCAGGTAATTTGCCTCTTAGCAAATAAGCAATTAATTGCTAATGATTTTGTGCCTGTGCATGTAATATATATATTTTTTATATGTTATTGGAGAACAAATAAGTTCATAGGAGACATTATGGAAAACCTCATGTTTAAAGTATGAATTTGTCTTATGCTAGCAGTTTATGGGATTATCTAGAGCTGACCCCATCTGCTGAGAGGTCACCACCCTGATTGGATTTATAAACACTTTGAGTGGTTTGAACTCCTGTTCTATTTCAAACCTATCTATATCAGTCCATCGTCCATGTTCAAACATGAAACTGAAATATTTTCAATAATTGATATTTGCCTCTGAATTGAGCAGTGAGCATTACGTCAAAATTGTATGACTTTATGACTCCATGCCAACTGATTTCATGGATTTCAAAATTTATGGTTCTTATATTTTTCTTTTTCATTCTCTTTTCATGGAATGCAGTCTGTTGGCAATCGTGTTGGAGTGACAGAACCATTTTTGATGCGAATGGCACACGGTGCACCTGTGCGTTCATCAAACAGGTTCAGAGAAAATCTGAAACCGCTGCATGGAAAATATGAAAGCGGACCTGGAATGAACAACAATACTGTACTTCAGGATGATCAAATACTTCGAGTGTGTAAACGGTTCTATGTTGCTCTCATCCTGTCAAGACTAGTTCAGGTATCGTCTTTCTTCTTTCTCAGCCTGAAGATTGAGGATTTCCTTCATGTCATTCTCATTTATTGCTTGATAGGCACACATACTCAGAGGCATTGTCTGAGTTTCTGGCATGCATTCACGTTTATTTAAATGGGCTTCCTTTTGCTCTGGTTTTACACACAAACATGGGAGGTGACATGCATTTTGTTCCTTTATTCTTGTCATTCAAAATTTTGTTCCTTTTCTTTTTCGAGCATCTATCAGTTAAAATTTATTTATTTTTGGGATATGAATTGCAATTGCTTGTATATAATTTGTGAGTTTTGTTGACTTCTGTCTTGCTAAATGTGTACTCTTCTATCTGTGGTGAAGGAAGCTGCTATCACTGAGGTTTGTGAAGCTTTCAAAGTGGCCAGGGGTATGGTGCAGGCCTTGCAAGAGAATGCTGGAAGGTTTGCATCTATGGTAACCATGTTTTGTGAGAGGCTTGGATGGCATGATTTCGAGGGCTTGGTTTGCAAGTTCCAAAATCGTGTTTCATTTGGAGTGAGAGCAGAGATTGTAGAGCTTACTACAATTCCATATGTCAAGGTATGTGAACTACAATTACATTTGTAATCTCCTTTTCATACCTTAAATATGTTCAACAGTGGTTTTTATATAATTATATGTAAATGGTATATGTTGATCTGTAGGGTTCTCGAGCAAGGGCACTCTATAAAGCTGGCTTGCGTACTTCTTTAGCAATTGCTGAAGCGTCCATCCCTGAAATTGTCAAAGCTCTTTTTGAATCTTCATCATGGAATGAGCAAGGTGATGCATATAAGATTTTAATTTTAGTACATGGCTTCTCGGGTTCCTATGATAAGTTTCTTGTAAAGGATTTCTTAATATCAACTAAATGTGCTGATAAGATCACATTCTTCTATACTATGTTTGATTTGTGATGGTTACCAGGACTATTAAGAAATAATTGATCTTAGCTTAGTTCTTAGCATTTCTTTGCTTTGGAGACATTCATTTATCAGGTGAATGCATTCTCGTTGACCTTTAAAAAAGGAATTGAATTTGAGTAATATTACGAACCAGTAACTACAGAAAAGACTAATTTCTTAGAAGGCAATTTTACTTTGTGATAACTCATGTCAAGACCTTTTCTGAATGTGACACTCTTTCTGGTCTTTCAATGAACTGTACAATGGTACTCTTTCCAGTCAAGTATTGTACAACAATTAGTTTTCTACAGGCGTGTAAGTTTGCTCAGATGCATTTGTTTCATGTGCTTGTGTGCCAGCGGGGTTGTGATAATATTTGTTCATGTAAATGGTTCTACCTCTATTGTTTATGTACTTTATTTTATGAAGATAGAGTTTTCGTCCCTTTATCTTTTCTAACTTATTTTAATATTTCTTAAAGTTGATATGTTTTATTTTAATGTGTAATTTTTCTGCATTCTTTCCTAATATTGGTAAGTTGATAATATGACTGCAGAAGGTTCAGCTCAAAGGCGCATCCAAGTAGGCGTAGCAAGGAAGATCAAGAATGGTGCACACAAAATAGTTCTTGAAAAAGCTGAAGAGGCAAGAGTTGCTGCCTTCTCAGCTTTCAAAGCTCTTGGATTGGATGTCCCACAATTTTCTCGACCGGTATTTTCAACTGGCGGTGGAAGTCCCAGTATGCAAGGAGCAGGAAATTCCTCTGGTGATAACTCCACTAGTAGCTTTCCTAATGTAGAGCACAGCAAAGAGTATGGTGCTAAGCCATCTTTGGAAGGTAGGGTCCATTCTGAAAAGGTTGCAGAAGTAAATTCAACTGGTATCATGCAAATTAAGTCTGGTCCTGAAAATTCTAAAGTACATATTCGAGGGTCTGCTACGCCCGTAGAGGAGCTTACTGTTGTGGTTGATCAAAACAAAAATGCTGATTTGACTGACCGGGTTCAGTTACAAAGCTTGGCTGACAGAACCAGGGCATCTGATGAGTCTCTTGATCTTGAAAACCAGGAACGCTGTAGAAGGGATAATTTGTCCTCTGGCTATAAGGGCAATGCTTGTGAGAAAGGCCCAATTCACGCAGTTAATACTCTTGGTGGTTTTGATTCCTTCTTGGATCTCTGGGAATCCACCTCAGAGTTCTATTTTGATATTCACTACAACAAAAGATCGGAATTCAATTCTGTTGCGCCTTTTGAAATACATGGCATAGCCATATGTTGGGAAAACTCTCCTGTGTACTATGTCAATATTCCTAGGGATCTACTGTGCTCAGACAGCGGTAAAAATGAATGCTTGAATTTGAATGGATCCGGCAATGGAAGTAATGGCTTACCTCTTGATGATTTGTTGGAGATGGCTGAATGTAGATGGAACAGGATTGGTAAAATAATGGGGAAAAGAGGTGTTAGAAAAATTACTTGGAAGTTGAAAGTTCAGATTCAGGCACTTAAAAGTCCTGCAGTTCATACTCAGAGATTTGGTTGTCAGAATCTTGGAGGGAAAAGTGCTTGTTTTGAAATCATAGACAGCTCGTTTTTATTGTTGCCTCCAGTTCATATAAAAGATGGAATTGACATGTGCATCGTGGCCTGGGTTCTTTGGCCTGATGAGGAGAGAAGCTCTAATCCTAACCTGGAAAAGGTAAAGTAAAAAAAGAATATCATTTCAATCAAAGCATTTGTTAAAGGAAAAAGTATTTAACTATAATTGTTTCATTCACTGTTTAGTGTTTACATGTTCATCGTTATTCAATTTGCATTGAAGATTTTAGAATGATTTATAGGAAGTTAAGAAAAGGTTATCCAGTGAAGCTGTGGCAGCTGCTAATCGGAATGGAAGGTGGAAGAATCAAATGCGAAGAGCTGCACACAACGGTTGCTGCCGTCGGGCTGCACAAATACGGGCCTTATGTTCTGTTCTTTGGAAGTTACTTGTTGCTGAAGGCCTTACTGAAGCCCTCCTAAATATTGAAATCCCTTTGGTAAATTACTTTCATAGCATCTGACTTAATTTTTCTGAGGGAACTTCATTTTATTTGAGGTTTACATTATTGCTATGGTTTGTTTTGGATTTAAATGCACATATAAATGCATCACCACTGTTTAGTTAGGTGCTTGAGAACCAGTACCCAACCCTATCACTTTTGACACTAGCTTATTGCTTATTTGTATGCTAGGTTAATATTCTTGCTGACATGGAGCTATGGGGAGTGGGTCTTGACATGGAGGGATGCTTACAAGCACGCAAGGTGTTAGGAAAAAAGTTAGGACAGCTTGAGAAGGAAGCTTACAAGCTAGCTGGCATGAAATTTTCGTTATCTACGGCAGCAGAAATTGCTAACGTATTATATGGACACTTAAAGTTGCCCATACCAGAGGGGCGCAATAAGGGGAAGCAACATCCAAGTACGGACAAGCATTGCTTGGATTTATTAAGGTATTAAGTGAGACTTATTTTCTTCTATCGTACTTCGTAACCTCACCCATCTGATGTGTGAATTAGCTGTTGAAATATTAATACTCAAGGGAATAGGATTACTATTTAACTATTTTATTCCATAGAGGTTTCCATCCTGTTTAGATTGTTTTGTTTGAATAGTGAACACTTGGAGATGGTTTTTGGGTATTCTTGCATGCACACTTGAATCTTTTCATTTTGTCATTTGTGGCATCAGCCTCTCATTGTTTTAATGGATGAGCATCCTATAATCTATTTCATTTCAGGGATGAGCATCCTATAATTCCCGTCATTAAAGAGCATCGTACGTTGGCAAAACTCCTAAACTGTACATTGGGATCAATTTGTTCACTGGGTAGGCTATCCATGAGGACACAGAAGTACACATTACATGGTCATTGGCTCCAAACATCAACAGCAACTGGTCGGCTTTCAATGGAGGAACCAAATCTCCAGGTTTGGGTTTCCCATGAGTTGATTTATTCTCTCCTCCCTCTGCTTCAGTTGTTAACAAGGTTTAATCGTGATTTTAATATCACATTTTCTTCTTTTTTTATTTTATTTATGCAGTGTGTTGAACATATGGTTGACTTTAAAATGAATAAGGATGGAAATGGAAACAAAACTGATATTGATCAATTCAACATCAATGCTCGTGAATACTTCATTCCTACTCAGGTAATGATCAACTTTTTCATTTCCTTGTAGGCCGTTTGTGTGTTATTGTTATATTTATACCATAAAAGTCAAAATTCTTGAGTAAATGAGGATGCGGGGGAGGGTTGAAACAGTAATGTCATATATTCAGATAGAGGACAGGAGAAGGGGATGGGATTTATGATTTCATGGTTTCCATTAGTTGATTTATTGTTGCCATTCTTTTGCAGGACAACTGGTTACTGTTAACTGCAGATTATTCTCAGATTGAATTGCGTCTGATGGCACATTTCTCTAAAGACTCTGCACTCATTGAACTCCTTAGTAATCCCCATGGTGATGTCTTCACCATGATAGCAGCTAGATGGACTGGTATTTCACAAGAGTCTGTTAGTTCCCATGTACGAGATCAGACTAAAAGGTTGGTGTATGGCATTCTTTATGGAATGGGTCCTAATAGCCTTGCAGAACAACTGGACTGCAGTCAAGAAGAAGCTTCTGAAAAAATAAAGAACTTTAAAAGTTCTTTTCCTGGAGTTGCTTCTTGGCTCAATGAAGCAGTTGCATATTGCCGCACGAAAGGGTGAGGACATGTTACTATTTTCCTGGTTGCTAGAAGTCGTTGAACTCTCTTGGGAATAGGTTGCTATAATATCTGAAAACCATGTGGTATTTTGGTTAATATTTCTTACAATTGAATAGGCTTTTTTCTGTTTTTTTCTTCCTCCGATTACTCAACTCTTTCATCACATTGCCTTTTCCTTCTAAATAGGTGTGTTATCAAATGATCAGTTTGAGGTTTCTTATTTATTAAGTCTATTTTTATTTATTTTTTCTTGGCCTGAGAGGGAAGGTTTATGCTTTTTTTTCTTTCTTGTGTTTTGACTTGTTTTCAAAATTCACTGGTTCTTCTCCTAGTGCTGGTTATAAAGTTTTTGGAAGAAGCATCTCTTCGTAAAAAATAGGGGTCAATGTTGATATAAGTTTAGCATTCTTTTCGTCTTCTTTTTCTTTCCCAGAAAAAGAAAATGTAATACACTCGGGTATACATAAATTTTGAAGATATCCAACTGTTGACTATCTGCATTATTGTGCCCAGATACATCGAAACCCTTAAGGGAAGAAAGCGCTTTTTGTCAAAAATAAAACTAGGAAACAGTGGAGAAAAGTCGAAGGCTCAGAGACAAGCTGTGAATTCTATATGTCAGGTACGACTTTTTCCCTCCCTTCTGTGGGGACAAGGAGTGTGGGGGTTTAATGTTAATCAGTAAATTGTAGTATTTTTCTCTGATGTCCTCCTTTTACAGGGATCTGCTGCTGACATAATTAAGCTTGCAATGATAAATATATATTCTGTGATAGTTGAGGGTGTTGAAAGGCCTGATTCTTCTTCTCATCCTGCAACAAAGTTACACATACTGAAGGGCCGCTGCAGAATTTTATTACAGGTCGGTTTTGGAAATTCTGTTTGTGTTAACGTTCTTTGGTCAATTTGAAGTGTAGAGGAAGATATTAATAAGCTAAGATATTTAGCATCTTATTAGCTTTTTTATTTAAATATAATTTTGCTTCATTTACAATGCAACTCATGTAACAATGCTTGTTGGTGGTTTCTAACCAGGTACATGATGAATTAGTACTGGAAGTTGATCCTGTTGTGATAAAGGAAGCTGCTTTGCTGCTACAGACGAGCATGGAAAATGCTGTTTTGCTTCGTGGTATATTTCTAAAGTTTCTGGAACATTGCTCAATAGTTGATAATTTGAGGACATTTGTTTGCTGTACCTAATTTAGTTACTTGTTGTCCAGTTCCATTGCATGTCAAAGTGAAAGTCGGAAGATCGTGGGGTTCCTTGCAACCTTTTCAGGTCGACCAATATAAAGATAAAGCTGTTGTGCCTGCACAATAATTTGACCAAGGTATGTTCTTGCTGTTGATCTGAATAAGTAGAACATTCATGCATTGAATGGTGGTGAGTGATGGCTTTACAACGAATCTATCTACTTCTTGTTGTCAAAAGAAATGTTATACGGCATGTTTTCTAATCGTGTTGCAGCTTTTTTTAAATATGTTCCGATGATATACATAATACACAGGGAAATTCACTATATATTCTGGCTACGCAATGCTTTCCTTGGAAAGATGCTGGACTAGACTGCATGTCATTCAAAATTCTTGAGGAAAATTTGCAGAGCTGTCATTGGGGGTTATGAACTTGTGAGATCCTCTTTCTGTCACTATTCTAATTGTTAGTTTTCTTTTTATTTACTCTCTATTTTTCAATTAGGACTTCTCAGACATTAGTATGCATTCTCAGGGAATTCTTTTTATGGGAGTGGATGCAACTGTTGGAGATCACAGAAGAACCACCTGGAATAGAAACACAATGCTAACTGACCATGTAGAACTGACGGGTTCAAGGATCGTAAGCTCCTGATTTCTTAAACCAGACAATAGTGTCCTCGAAAAGAAAATGGCAGATGGCAAGGGTTCGTGGTGGAAATTTGAGAAATTGGAAGGCAAGGTGCTTTGGGTTCCATTTCGATGTGTCTGCACATGGCAGACTGCTACTGCCTTATCGTTCATGTTGTCATCACTTTACAAAGACACCATATAAGCACCTATTTTTTCTGGTGCATGACTGGATAAAACAGCGTACTTGTAATCGAGCTTATGACACGCAACAAGTTCGTCGCCTGCCAGCTGATAAACGATAGAATCATCATTCATTCAGATGTTTTTAGTCTTCGATTGTACAGATTTATCTCATTAACTCAAAATGTATTCATTGTACAGCATGATTATATAATACACACCTTATGCCTCTGATGAGTTATCGAGGCCATTCACTTCAGTCTTCTTCTCTGCCTCCGCCTCCTTCACACCGTCTTTTTTTTTTTTCTTTCCCGATCTTGCTTCTACCCTTGTAGGCTTGCCTCTCACCATGTCAACCATTTCTACCAATCCTCCTGCTACTGACTTTCTTCCCTTCTGTCTGAAGCCATAACTATCAAATCTTGACCTACAACTACAACCTACGGCTTCTCAGATCGTTCCAGTTTTGAAGAGCCACAGTTTGTTGGCTTGTGTTGACGAATCTCTCCCCTGCTCACCTCAATATTTCTCAAAGATGACAGGAAATGATGCTCATCTTCACTCCACACTCCTTTTTCCACCTCTGTCGACACTGCTTAAATATTTCTTGACATGCTAGTCACTTTTGTTTCATTCGATTTTTAAACATCGGTTCCTTTTAGCTAGCAAATCGTCATGGTAGACGGAAAATGATCTGTCGTAAATCTAAAACACTAACGGTGAATAAACACGTGATGTGAGTTTCTTACAAGCCTAGAGCCCAGTGTCTATTATTTTGGTTTTGAAGAATGTACCGGTACAATAATTTTTTTGATTAATTTGATGAATGTACCCACACACACACACACACACACACACACACACACACATATATATATATATATATATATATTATAATATATTGAAGAGTATAATTTATCTTTTAATATTTTAATTCCCACAAATCATGAGTTTTATTTACAATCTCATTAATATAAACAACTAAATATTTCAATTTTAATTTAAAAATTATAATAACTTACATAGAAATAAATTATTATATTAATTTCAGGGACTTCAATTAAAAATTGAAAACCAACAAGATTTCAGTCAAAGAACATTGATAAATAGGGACCGTATCCAAAATCTCTCATGAAAAAAATAACTAATTAGTGAAATCTAGACTATATTTAAAATAGAGTGTTTAGTGTTCAGTGATATTTCAATTAACACCTTCTGTTAGATACAGGAGTTCTACATTGGAGATGTATAAAACAAAGCAATAAATAATTTATACATGTGGGATGTTCACTAATAGTCACTGATTTTTCGGTCTTTCGTAATGAAAACCCATACTTACGGTTTAATATGTAGTTAATTGAGGATAATATTGGTGATAGGAGTCACGTTGGACCGAAAAAATTAATTACAGCATCAAAGTAGGCTATTCTTTTAACATATTTTGGCCCTATTTACTAACTCCAATTTCCTCCCTTAAGTCCTAGTTGAAGGCCAGCATGGAGTATGGATTCAACTATGCAAGAATTTTGCAGTTGTCATAGAGATCTTTTTTTTTTTTTTTTTTTTTTTTGAAGAATGTCATAGAGATCATTTTATTTGTTTTTTATTCTATTGTTTTCTTCTGCGTACGTCTTAATTTGCTGCTAATGAGTACTTGGTTACTGAAGTTAATAGTCAAATTGCTAGTTGTTTTAATGAAGATAACGTCCCAGTATTAACTATGGGATATTTTTTTTATAAATAGCGGGAATCAACTAGAATGCTCTTATTCAATTCTTTTTACAGGGAAAGCTCTCTGGCAAGTAATCATGCTAGGTAGCTAATGTTTCTGTTTTAAAACCCAGGCAATATCGCCATCCGGAAGAAAATGGCAAACGGGAATGGTTCCTGGTTTAACTTTCAAATATTGAAAGATCTTTGGGTTCCATTCAGATGTCTGTATGGCAGATAGCTACTGCTTTCACGGTGATCCCGTCTGAACCTCGTAGAGGCACCATATAAGCCCTAATACTTTGAAATGCATGGCAGTAGAAGACAGCATACGGGTAGTTTAACTTGTGACACACAATGACTATGTTCTTGTAGGCTGCAGAAAGGTTCTTCATTCCTGGGGATATTGTAAATTTTGCACAGCGGCAGCTGCTTTTTCCACCTCCGTGGAGACTGCTTCAATATTTCTTCCGAGCTTGAAGCGGCATAGTCAATCATCGACTCTAAAGATGTGGCACATTATTTTTCTTCTCCTGTAATGCCCTGACCTTCGCACTCCTGAATGGTTTCATTAATTCTAATCGCTTCCACAGACCCTGGTTTCAATGAATATTGGTGGAGAATTTGTGGCATTTTGCTAGATGAGAAGGGGATGGACTCTGCAGTTTTTCGGGATAGGAAAGTTGCTCTAGTCGAATTTTTAGCTAAGCGATATTTCTTTCCATTTCCAGGATGCAAGTCCTTCTCCAGGAAGAAAAATACTTGACTCGGGCCTCCACTTTTACCTTTGTAATTCACAAAAACACACCAGCAGTTTCGGGCAGCATCTTGACTGAAAAAAGACAAGTTTCCTTTGCCAACTCTAGTGTGATATGTAGAATTAACAACATAAATAGAGAATTAGCAACACTAGTGTGATTGTCACAAGGGAATTGTAATAAGGACTCCAAACAGTCATAATTCCATTCTCACCCTTTTTCTATGAGTAATATTAAGGAGATTACATATTTATATCACATTAGTGTATCATCTCATGTGGCAATTAAGTGATGTATACAACCAACATCCATGAAATAAATTTGTTAATTAACGTAACATACACATATGACATGACACATCAATGATACATCAATGTGGTACAAAAATGTAATCTGCCCAACAGGTTAATTATTTGGAGTGCCAATAGTAACTCTCTATTCCAATACAAAATAACCGTTCTATGTTCATGGAGACAATCCCAATTTCATGCAATCCCAATCCCATTCGCAAAGAATGAAATCGCTCCATTCTATACATTCTTTGGTTTTCTTAACCACATATCGTATCAGTAGAGTGTTGAGAAAAGCTTTTGAGTCAGAGATTGTCAATACAAACCAGGTTGGACAAGTTGGCTGAGAGCCTTTGGCATTGTTGTGTCTGGCAGGATGGAGTTCCAGTAGTGAAGTTGAGGTGGCAGTAAAGTAGTCGCATAGCTTGCCATTGCCACCAGTGTAAGCCGCAAAATAGTTAAAATTCTCATTATTACGAGATAAAGAAAATCAGATATGTATAGCTATAAGATTCGTAAAAATCATTGGGAAAATTCAAATTTTACACGGTTTAATCACAATGAAAAATGCAAAGATTCTGAAAGGAAGGAACCCCATTGAAAAGGAAGAAACAAGAAAACTCAGGCCCGTATGGTAAACAATAGCAAATTGGTTCAATTTTTATAAGGGAATCCCTTCCATTGTCTAGTGTGAGGTTCCGCATTTAATCCAGCTTTGAACCAATTGCAGAGCATGCATTTGTAGTAAAAAAACGTACCGGATGAAACCGAAAATGCAGAGCATGTACCGGCCTAAATTTTTTCTTACTTACTTTATTTGTGTAGAAAAAAAATTGGAGAATTTAATTCAATATTAATGTAGTGACTAGTGAGAGAAGGAGCCTCCTGATACATTGAGCTTCTTATTTTCACTCTAAACAAGTCATCCTATGTACTTTAAAAAGTCATCTTGCACATAATTATTAAGTTTAGTGCTTAATATTTTGCTTATCAATTGAGCTCCATTAACTTTTGAACTAATGAAGCAACTTTTCTATTGAGTGATGATGAATCATTCTATATTTTGTTTATGCCATTTATATACCTCTACGTATTTTGCGCGCGAGAACCCCTGCTTCAAAATATTCATATTTTTTTTTGTGTTTTGCATACCACTTCTCATAGGTAGCATCTTGTTTAAAGGGAGGATGACTTTTGCCACGGATGTACTGAATTTTCTCACATTCGGAGATGTGAATCTCCATCATCTGGGACCACATGTTCGCCCATGGTTAAACAGTGGCGAAGGAGATCCACTAGTGCACGGATACGATGACGAGGGCGGCCGCGACGCGTCAAGAGCCAGGATTCTGTTGGGGGTTGAGCAGCGAATTAACAATTTTTCAAATATTGATCTAGGGTTTTCAACTCAGTAAGATCCGGTAGTTTCTGAATCCTTATGTAAGGAATTACAAAAGAAATTCTTTCAACAAAGATGTGAATTAGGAAGGGTTGGTCGACGGAGTATGAACCGAAGTTTAATCTTGATATACCTTAGAACAATACATTGATACCAAGTTAGAATTCGTGAAATGCGTCGTTAACTTATTCTTCTCACAGTGATGAAATATATATACTGGTATCCAACCCTAAATTACAATCAATACATAAAATCTAGGAAAGGAATTCCAATACACTTAATATTAAATATTCTAATAAATGATAGGGCTTATCAGACTTTATAATTAAGACAAGGCTTCTCGAACTTTATTATTGGTATTCCTTTTACAATGAAGTATAGAACCACAGAGGGTCCGAATTTCAAACTGCTACATTGGAATGGAGCACTTTTCCAAATGATGAGGTCAGGTTACATAGCTTCTATATATTTAGGAAGCCCATTAAGATTAAGACTCCTTAACTTAATGGAAAACTACTAGCCTGCTCCGATGGTAAACAATATATTAGGTTGGTTCAACTTTTATAGGGGAAGTACCCGTAACTGAATCTGAACTTTCAAGTTTGTAAGGATTAGGCGTAAATCCTCCAGCCCCTTCCATTGCCTCGTGTTAAGTTTATGTGTCAGTAGAAAGCTACTGACGAAACTGAAAATGCAGAGTATGCAAGCGTATGTTTCATAGAAATATAAACCAGAAAACGCACAGCATGCAGTGGCCTAAGGACGTTCGTCTTATTTTCTTCTTCTTTTTTCCTTTGTGAGGGTAAAATGGAGAAATTAATTCAACCTTTTTTTCGGCACAAGTGATATTCAACTTTAAACTAATTTAACCTATAAAAAGAATGATCATAATTCAGGCGAATAAGAAAGAGGCATTTTCTTTATCTTAATCGATAAAAATAAAACAGGTTTTGTCAAAAAAAAAAAAAAAAAGTTTAGGGTTTGGGTTACAAATGTCAATTCGTTTGATTAGATTTGCTGGATGCAGTGAGTTTAGCATAATTTCAATGTTATGGTAGGATGCATTATGCATGTCGTCCTCAACAAAAACTTAATGGATGAAAAACCATTAAGGCTTGACTTTTTCGCAACAGAAATTTACTTGATGAAGCGAGGAAGAAACTCAGAGCTAGCTTATATGGTAAACAAGAGTTGTCGTGGCTTCAACCTATGTGGGACACATGGAGAAGTACTCAATTTACTACATTAATTGTCATGCCTAGGTAGCCAACCCCTTCCATTGCCACATATGAAGCCATTAACACCTCACATTTCAAGAAATAATCCTCAACTTTTATACGTCTTGATCACATTTTTACTTAAACTTTGCCACATTTAGATTAGTGTGTAGATGAATCAATAAGCCGAGCAGAGTACCTAGGCGATCAGGCTTGGATTCATGAATTAATCTTATTCATGTTCAAACTTTGATTAAGATCATGGAACTCCGCTCGGATCGGCTCCAATGTTTTTTTTTTTTTTTTTTTTGGTTTCTTTTGAGATAGGTCATTGTCACTCTTGTTTCCTAAACTTAAACTCATAGGGAAACTTTGGATGCGGTCCCTAACTATCAATATTTTTTTACTGAAGCCTTGTTGGTTTTCAATTTTTGATCCAAGTCCTTGAAATTAATGTAATAATTTATTTCTATGCATGTTACTATATCTTTTAAATTAAAAATTAAAATTTATAGTTGTTTATATTAATGAGATTTTAAATAAAAACTCATACTTTGTGGGATTAAAAATAGTAAAATATACGATTGAATATTGTTGAAGTTGTGCAATCTCGTCTTTGGTTAAGGGCCAACTTTTGGTTGGAGTTGGTTGATTATACTATTGTGTGTATGTGTGTGTGTGTATAAATATGGGTACATTCATCAAAATTAACAAAAAAAATTATTGTACTAAAAAATGGATACATTCTTCAAAACCACACACAAAAAAAAAAAAAAAAGTAATAGATATTAGGCTTAATAACATTAGTAAATTTCTTCCATTAAACTTGACATGGATATATTCTCAAATCAAAAGAAAAGAATGTCCCCATATAGATTTAAAAATGGAGTAGAGAAAAATTGAATAGATTTTATATAAAAAAAAGGGTACATTTTACATATAACAAATTGGTATATTTATGAATGGGTACATTTAAGATTAAAAATTTGAAGTGCATATAAGATTAAAAAATTGAAGAACATTTTATAAAAAGCTAATGGGTACAAACTTATTCTAATTTTTTTATTTATTTTAGAAATGTTTTGAATTGAAAATTAGTTAGGAGTTTAATAAAGGTGTGAGTATTAAAATCCTAAATCAACTATTAATTTTATTTTAAAAATTATGTAACTGACATCTAAATTCATTATTTCATTAATGTTAGGAACTTGAGTCAAAATCTGAAAACTAATAAGATTTTAATTAATGAACATTAGTAACTAGGGAACGGATACTAATTTTTCCAAACTCATACATTCAAATAAAACTCAAAATTCAATCTTGTTGACCCTCTTTTTCTAGAGCCATAGATGGCCATACATATTCTAATAAATGGTAGGTCTTCTCGGACGTTATAATGAAGGCAAGGCTTCTCAAACTTTATTATTAAGTAGATCTTTTACAGTGAACTAAGTATAGAACCACAAAGGATTCTAATTTCAAACTGGTACACTGGAAAGAAGCAATTTTCCAGGTGATGAGGTCAATTTACATGGTTTCTATTTAGGAACCCATGCAATATGGCCCTCGGGAAGAAAATGGCAGACGGAATCAGTTCCGGGTGCAACTTTGACCTCTAGCAAGGCATAAGTCTTCGGGTTCCAGGCAGACGTATCGAGATGGCAGATTGCTACTGCTTTTACTTTCGTCCCGTCAGATCCTTGCAGAGGCACGGAATAAGCTCTAGTTCTTTTAAACCCATGGCAGTAGAAGACGGCGTAGCCGTTGTCCATCTTATGACAGACAATGAGTCTGTCCTTGTCTGCTGAAGTGATCAGCTTCACTCCAGGGGTTATTGTGTAATTCTGGATGGCAGCTCCTGCTTCCAACTCTGTGGAGATTGGTTGAATATTTCTTCCGAGCTTGGCAGTAGCGTAATCAACCAATGACTCCAAAGAGGTGGCGCAATATCTTTGTTCTCCTGGAATAGCTGTACTTTCACATGTCTGAAGGGTCTGCTTCATTATATCAGCCTGCACTGACCCAGGCTTCAGTGAAAATCGGTTAAGAATTTCTGGCAGTTTGCTAGATGAGAAGGGGACCGATTCTGCAATTTCGCGGGGTAAGAACATTGCTGGAGTACTTGTATTTCTTGAGAAGCTATATTTCATTGTTATTCCAGGACGCACGGCCTCCTCCAAGAAGAAAACTACTTGCGTTGGATCTTTTAGGCGGTTTATATCGTCACGGGAAGCGCTCCTGTTGTAAAGGAAAAATAGAAGACGCGCAGCCATAAAAGATTGTGGGTTGTAACCAGCAAAGTTTGTGGCTGTTCCGCCCGATTCTGCAGATTTACCAACATAAATTAGATATAAGTTCATGCACCAGTTATGTGCTTCTTCCAGGAAGCACTTTAAGTGTTTTTTTGGAATTTACTTGCATTTTTACTAAGGATTGGTTCCAAAAATATTTTCACCAAAATCATTTTTCGTTATTTTAAAAGCACATCCAAACGAGCTTTTAGACATCTAAAAATACAAATTTTGCCCGTCAAACTTAATTATGGATATTGTTTAGTTGGAGTCAATGGGTTTTTATTAGAGAAATTTGCCATGATGAGTTTTAGTTAAAGAAAATTGAATTCCAAGGGATGTACTCATATTTTCCGTATTTACTAACCAGGCTGGATTAGTTCACTGAGAGTTTTCGGCATTGGTGTGTTTGGTAGGACGGAGTTCCAGTAAAGCTCAGGTGGTAAAGGTAAAGCAGCATGGACTCGCACGAGTGTGAGCTGCAAAATTTGAAATCACGGAGTTAGTAAGATAGATAGAAAATGAAATTAGTAAAAACATAAGATCAAATTACAGCGCTTACAGTAAAAAAAGCTAAGATTCGGGAGAGAATGAACCCCATTAAGACTCAACTTCTGCAACACAAACGAAAATTTTACTGGATGAAACAAGAAAACTCAGAAAGCTGTGGTAAACAGGAGCAGATGGGTTCATTCTTTATAGGGAAGTAAGAAGGTAAACTACAAATTTGTTGGGATTAGGTGTAAAACATGCAGCCCCTTCCATTGCTAGGTGTGAAGCTCCCCATTTTTTACTCGGCATACCTGCCAACAGAAAACTTTGTGAAGGAAACCCGGAAAGCAAGAGCATGCAGTGGCCTGAAATTTTTTTTTTTAATTTGTATTTTTGTGGTAAGATTTTTTTGTGGATTTTATTTGTACAAATGAATTTTTTCTGTCTATGTAAACTACATATTAATATAACTCTGGTTGTCAAACAAAACATTATGAAATTATTATTCTAACTCTCTAATTGCAACTGAATAAAAATAAAAATTATGGATAATTTAGTAATTACAAAAACACAAATTTTATTGTTTTTAATAAAACATCACCCACAAGTAACTTTAACGTCTTTAATATTAAAAACCAAACCTTTCTCCTCTCTGTCTATTCCCATTCCCACGTTCTCTCTCTTTTCCTCTCCTTCCATTTTAAAAACAAAAAAAAATTGTTAAAAGTGTGTGGGCATGTGCTAGTATATACTAGCAAAGGTCACACACTCCATGTGTGAGAAATATAATTTTATGCAGGTGTCAAAAAAAAAAAAAGTGTTGTCAGTTATGGAGAGAGAGAGAGAGAGAGAGAGTTTAGAGGATAGCGATATGAATATGATGACATGACTGTGAGATTTAGAATAGAAAAAGTAAAAAATTGTTTGTTCAAAATTACCTTAATGCCCCTATTTTTTCAGTTATATATTAAAGGTTATATTGTAATTTCATTAGTTTTTGGTTGACAAAATAAGTTCTATTAATAGGTAGTCTAGATAAAGAGAGCATACCAAAATGGTGAAGCTCTCAATATTCCCAAAATATCTCTCCCCAATTAGAATTCTAAAAGAAAACAATTCAATTAAAATTTTATTTCAATTTCATATATCCATTAGTTTGGCTATTAAGTAATGATGTGATAATTGTGGGTTCTGTTGCAGTCCTATTAGATTAGAAATATGATTGTGTAAATTCTAGTGTATCAGGGATATCTTTGAATATTTCCTTTAGTAGTTAATATCCTATTAAAGTTGTAATCTTATTAGGGTAAGGAATTAACCTTCCATACTACCATAAATAAAGGTACAATGGGGTGGAATAGAACACACCTCACAATTACACATTTCTCTCTTTCTCTTTACTATTGCCACACCCCCTCTCTCCCTGTCCTTTATATGATACAATAAATTAGGCCTACAACACGTTATTAGCATGCTCTTGAAGCTGCGCTAAAGTGAGTTTATTCTTCAATCAGGAGAGTATTATGTTTTAATTATTCACTTTATGATTAATTTATTATTTATTGAATTGATCTACATGCTATTGATTCAATTTAATTTTTTTTTGTTGAACGTGATACAACGCATAGGAGATTCAATTCCGGCTTTCAGAAAATGATCTTCTACAAATTCAAAGGCTCCTTTGTTTTTTCCAATCAGATTCCTTTAAAATAAATTAAGATATTGAAATGACCGTGAAACATGAAAACATTTCTCATGATGCATGAACCCCCTATATTTATATTTTCCTTTCAATTATATATATTGCATGTGTTCTTATATTTTGTCAATATATATATTTGTTCATGCAATACGCAATAATGCTATGTGTACTTTGTGAGTCAAAGAATGTAAATAAAATAGAAGCATGATTTTTTTTTATTTATTTTTGGGTTCTAAAAACCTAAATACTAAAAATCTGAAAAGAAGAAAAAAAAAAAAAAAAAAAAGAAGGGAAAACTCTGCTGAGCCGCGGCTTGCAGCGGCGACGGTCATGGAGTTGCGTTGGAGCCACGCGCTCACGCCAAGCTCAAGCCAAGCAGCGCTGTTTGAGCTGTTGCCCAGAAAATTCTAGAATTGCAAAAACACCACCATTTTGCACGTTGTCTCCCTCGTTGGACCTGCGCTCACCTGAAGCCGAGCCTCTCCGACCTCTTTCCACCAATTTTGGTGAAAATCGACGACTCGCAGTCATCTAGTTTCACAGCTTTTCGTCCTCGACGATCAATTTGACTGAGATTCCAGACTGAATCTTATTGGGATTTGGACAACCGACGCCATCTTCTTCGATTCCGACGTTGAGCTAGTCTCCGTTGTGAATTTAAGGGTCCTCGTTGAACCTCGAGTCGTCCTCGTCTGAGAACACCACCAATTGTGGCGGCGTCATTCAGTTTTTCCGGCGATTGCATGTGCCCGAAGCAAACCCATACATTTTTTTTGGGCTTTGTCCAAGCCTAGCCAACTTGGGCTTCAGTTGTTTTGGGCCTGTTGCCTCTCGGCCCATCTTTGCTGTAAGCCTGCAGCTTGCATGCCCTATTGGGCTGCTCTTTGCAACCTGCCTAAAGCAGCAGCCAGCAATTTCAGTGCTGGGTTGCCTTTGTTTCTCGGCCTAAAGCGATTTTCGGCTCTTTTTTTCTTCAGCCCGCACCCATATTTTTGGTGCCCAATTTCACGACCTTAACAAATTTTTTAGGCTTTTCTTTTGTACGGCCTGCAGCCATCTAGCCCACATATGACCTGAAATTTTGTATTATTTTTGCTTCTACGATCGACCCCAAATGGTCTCGATCTATTGAATTAATTAAAGTGAGCAGCAATCTATTAATCTGACAAGACATAAAAAATTACTGGCCTAAAGCCCACTTTTGTACATTAACGATTCAATATTTTATTTATTTTCTTTGAACCGTTGACTCCCTTTCATAGTCCTGAAGAACTCACACTTGAGTTCCTGAAGCAACCCAAATCCACTACACTTAGTTGTATATTGCATTATGTGTTCTTACAGGTACCTATTTTTATGAACCGGAAGTTCATAACTAAAATCGAACATGTAGTTTTGAATTTAGTGCCTTTGAAACCCGAAGCTTTCATAAAATAATACACCCATGAAAACTCGATGTTTTTCATGCAAACCATGTCTTAGATCCCGAATGTTCTAACTTTGATGCTTATGGATATCTTATTTCCATAAGAGCAATCACAATCTTATTCCCTTCATTTAATGGATTGTCGAACCATAACAAGTTCAATTTCACTGGTTTGGATGTTTCTTGACTGAAACCACTTTATGTGGGTACAAGACGTGAATTTGCACTTGACTATCAAGAAGCTGAGAAACCATTGAAGCCAACAATGGCATGGAAGAGCTGAATAAGCCTCCTCTATGATCTTCATTTGAAGACTTATGCCGGAAGCATTACATACAGAAGTACCTCCCGAATTAGGATTCCATGGCTCTTTAGCTCACTCATACGAACCGTCTAATCATGAACGATTTTGCTTGAAGCACACCATGATTATGTCTATGAATGAGTACGATTCTGAAGTTTATAAATTCGATCAAATTTTGACTGGAGAATACTTTTCTCATCCTTCCAAGTTTCTAACTCACTCCTGAAACAGCAGCGTAGAAAGCGGAAGTTTACCAAATTCTCGAATCTGATTACTACCATAAACATGAGAAAAAGGTATAGACCTAGCTTCCGCTGAAGTCTACTGAACGGTATAAACCTAATTTGATTGGAGTCTACCGAATGACTCAACCTAGTTCAATCAAAGCTTACCAAATGGTGGTGCCTTGCTTCAGCAGGGATGGCATGCTCTACTAGAGATGCACCAAACGGTATTGCTTTGTTTCAGCAAAGGCCTACCGAACAAACCCTTCTAGCTTTGGTTGGAGCCTACCGAATCCAATTTTGGGTTTGTCTTTCTCACAATCCAATTTCAAGTTTGTTTTTACAACATATGGTAGTTACAAGGCTTGCCAAGATGTGGCATCGTGCCTGAAGCGTGATCCTTGGCACCTAAAACCTAAACCTTCAAGAATTAGGGATAATATTTCCAAACCTTAACCCTGCATAATCTACTTCCGTCTTGATGAAATAGATCATTGGTTATGCATCTGTTCGTGCCCCTACCAATGTCGTTGAGGAGTACCATTCTCGTAGTCAATATATGAGACTAATTTTGCTCCACCAAACATCGTTGGAAGAGTAGAGTTTTGACATGTATGGCTTTGTTGGCTGAATCCCCTTAGTAAACCATTTACTTTGCGAACATTTCTTTATGTTCTTGGATTCACATTTGGTGTTTATTTTATTTATGGATAATCTTATTAATATTGTCCTCGAAGATGAGTTAATTGAATCATGTTTCTTAAAACATATGACCAAATGCAATTAAACATGTGATTAGGTACGAATGTGGGAAAGTTAGTTGTCTCGATAAATGTGATACTAGGCACACTGACTTTATACCTAAAGCACATCTCTAACAACGACTTCAAGTCTATCCAACCTGATTAAGAGCATTGGCACGCTTCTCGTTGTATGAATGGTACTAACTTACCATTTAAGAGACCTTATATTCTCCCTGTTCGGAAGAACGTTGTTGAGTCTTAAGGATATTCGAGAGAACAATGATCATGAATGAAACCACTGAAGAAAATAGAGTGGAATATCTTTGCACCACCTCCAAAAATGAGCCTGAAGCTTTGCTTTGGGGCCAATGCTGCCTCCTAACTGGGAGCACACCACATGTGGCCGGCCTAAAGCCTAGTGATTGAGCAGTTTGCTTACATTGGCACGACCATTTGGGACACTCAGTTCGAACAATGATGCCACGACGTATCTTCTTACCCGAAGTAAGGATCTTGTGCTTACAAGCATACTTTGCCAAACTTGCTCAGTGGGGGGAAATTGATATTCTAAATCATTTCTCGCAAAGATATGAAATGACTCTCTTTTCACAGTGGATTCAAGGGAATATATGTGGACTAATCCAACCAAAATGCAGACCATATAAATAGTTATGGTTTTGGTTAATGAATTGACAAACTGTTCACATGTTCGTCTACATACATTGCTGCTAAACCTTTTGGATGATTTAAAGGTTCACCACCCTACTTATCCCATAAAGTTTGGAAGACTGGATAATGCCAG